CCAGGGCCACGCTGGGTGATGTCCTGTCACTGCTCTGCACAGCCCACCCACTCCCATCTGTTGTATTTTATATTTTATTTTATTTGAAACAGGGTCTTGCCGTGTAATTCTGGCTAGACTTTCACTATGTAGCCCAGGCTGGCCTTGAGCTCTTGGCAACCCTCCTGCCTCAGCCTCCCAAGTGCTAGGGTTCGAGATGTACATCCTGCTAATTCCCATCATTCGGAGAGAAATCAAATTCCACTTTGTCCGCCACACGAGGCTGTGCGGGTGCCTCGTGGTTCTTTGGGGACCAGCATTGTCTTCTCCCCAGCCTGGGGACACTCACTGGCTGCTGTGCCGTCTTCCATCCCTCTGAGGCCTCTGCCATGGAGCGGTGGAGCACGTGGTTCTGGCTTGGCCTCTGGGTGGGGTTGTGATGCTGGTCCTGTGGCAATCTGAGGTGTCCTAGTCACAGGAACAGCTCTGTTAGGAGGAAGCATCTTCCTGGTCACAGATGCCCAAGAAAATGTCCTCAAAGCTGGGTATGGTGGCACACGCCAGTAATCCCAGCAGTCAGGAGGCTGAGACAGGAGGATCTCTGTGAGTTTGACCCAGCCTGGGCTTCAAAGTGAGACTGTGTCAAAAAGACAAAAAGAAAAGAAAATGTCCTGGAGCCCTGGACTGTCTGAGCCTTGCGTGGCTATGGAGAAGGACCCTCCGGGGTGGCCTTGGGAGCAGGTTCTCCTGTTTGGCTGACTTTCCCTCCTGGACCTCAGATGGAGGTTCCTGCTCTGCTTCTGGTTCTGGATCCGTGGCTCTGGTTCAGCAATGGGTTTCTCTAAATGTTCTGCCAGGTCATTGCTGACAGTGTGACCACAGAAAGCTCCAGAATCATCAGGAACGACTGAGGCATCTGCTGTCTTCCTTTGGGTCCTCTGCTTCTTCCTCATGTTCGTTCTCCCGAGGCTCAGTGACAAAGCTGCCAAAGATCTCATCTCCGGACCTGAAGAGATCGTGATGGCCAGAGTCTGCTCCCAACAGAGCCCTCAGTTGGGTGCGTCCGGGTGGGGTAGCAGGTGAAGCTGGTGACACCACTCCCTCCCTCCCAAGTTTCTCTGCCCTCGGGCTGCATCTGCAGGTCCGGGGTTGGAATCTGATCCCCCAGGACACAGGAAGGGCTCTTCCACAGAGTCAGCCCTGCAGTGGGTGTCGCTGCCTCAGATTCCCGCCCAGCAGCAGGGGCAGGAGGCCCAGCACTGGGCCTCAGTCAGGTCCACCCCTCGGATCTCAGTCTCCCCTCGGGAACCACAGGGCAGACGGCTGGCTGGGCCCCCCTGGAGGCTGTCTCAAGCCCCAGACAGGCTGCAGCCCCGCGCAGCCTGGCTCCTTGTGTACAGGGTGGTGGCAGTGTCACCCCTTCCCTGCCTGCAGAGGCCTGTGCCTGCTGTGTGACTTCTGCTTTCGGGAGATGTGGTGCACGCTGGTGGCACAGATGTGCTGTTCACCTGGGCAGATCTTCCTGGTGCTTCCTGCGCTGTGGTCACTCCTGCTTCTCTGCCATGTCAGGGTTTGGGGGTTTCTGCCGTACCCACCATGCTAGGGGTCTCCCCTGCCCTGTTGCTCTAAGCACAGTCTGCCTCCGCTTCCCTCCTGCAGTCCCCAGGTTCCAAGGTCCAGGGGGACGCATCCTGTCTGGCAGATTCTGCTCAGCATGGGGCTGCCAGCGCCTGCCCCTTGCTGCAGACACAAGGCTGGGATCTTCCCCACGGCCGTATACTGCCCCGCTGTGCAGAGACCACAGTTCTGACCCCAGTCACCTGCTGACGGGCTTCTGGGCGAGTCCCATGAACAGTGCTGGGATCAGCACAGCGGGCGGGATCCTCCTACAGGCGGACCATGGCACCTCCTTTGTACCTCGAGGACTGGCTGGGAGCCCTGTGTGCAGTGTGCAAGGTGGCTGTACTTCGTTCTGTCCTGCAGTGTAGGCGGGAGTTCCCTCCATCCCGCATCCTTGCTGGCATTTGCTTACAGTGCAGGGCCTTTTGCACAGAATTGCATCCCTAGCTTTTATACTTCTTTTCAGGATCTGAGTTGCCCAAGTGTAGCCCGAACTCGGGAGCCTCCTGTCTCAGCCTCCGAGTGTGGGAGAGAGGTTGCACCATTTCTGCAGTGGGTTGGCAGTGGGCAGACTGAGAAAAGCTTCTGGATGGCAGCTGCAGGTGCTGCCATCTGTGACCCTGACAACCCGCACCAGGACTGCTCAGCTTTGATGTTGGTGTGTGTGCCTGTGCCTGTTTATCGTGCTTCCACAGCAGCTCCCGCCAGCGGCAGCAGTGACAGAACTTGGCAGCTCTCCGCCCCCCACCCAGTTTGGCCAGCAAGGTAGGAAAGTGGGGCTTTAAGGGTAGGGTAGCCATGGCCTCCTGTCCTGCAGGGACACAGGGGACACAGCCTCACCCTCCCAGCCAGGACAGGCTGGGGGACATCTCTGGGGTCAGTGGTGACTTCCCACCAGTGCCAGCCTGGATCGCTTCTGCAAAGTCACCAGGAGCCCCAGTGACCGTGTCAGGCCCTACCCTTGGAGTCCTTGGGGCTCACGTCTACTCGTACCAGCTTGGTAGAGAGCCCCTCACTCAGCCTGCTGCTCTGCTCTAGACACCAGGTCCATTGGGCAGCTCTGGACCGACATGCGGCATTGCCGGGCTCTGGCTTCTTTCTGGGAGTCAGACTGGCGTCGCTTTTTTTTGAGACAGGGCCTTGCTGCCTTGGCCTCCTGGTGCTGGGGTCACAGGTGTGCACCATCATGCCCGCCCGCATCTTCCTCTTGTCATGTTCAGGCACAGCTGGGGCTGGACAAAGCTGACCAGCCCTGCTGAGGGAACAGGTGAGTCAAATAACCAGGACATGAGTAGATGGTGGGGTGCTGTGTGCACGGGAACAGGCCAGGCACAGGCCGGAGGACAGTTGAGTGAGCAGGTGGCCAGGAAGGCTCAGGAGAGGCTGAAACCTTTATACCGAGAGCTGAGAGCACAGGGGCCCCCCGGGCAGAGAGGCAGGGGAGGGGGCTCTGGTCCCCACCCCACGTCCTCCTTTGCAGCTGGCAACCTAGGCCCGAAAACTATTCGGAGAATCTCCGGCCAGGCCAGGGTGAGGAGGAGATTCTATTTAAAGCGGAAGGCTGAGCAAGGCAGCATCTGTGGCCACAGCCAGGGCACAGAGCCAGCTGCTCCGGGACCTGGGGCCTCACCTGGGAGGCCTGTGCCCTCCCAGGTCTCTGCTGTGACCCGGGCCTGGCTTGTGTCCCCAGAGCTCAGCAGTGTCCTCAGTACCTAGGGCAGAGGAATTCGGGGGGTCCCAGGGTATAGAACCTGAGCCTGACAGGAAGAGGAAGGCAGTAGCCGGACACTGGTGCCTTTGGATGACTTGGGCAAGATCCCCAGGGTTGTGTGTGATGGAGCCAGCCTGGTGCAGCAGGGCACATCATGGGCACTGCGGCACCTGTGCCCTGGGCTGGAATCACTCGAGAGGCCGAGGGTCGGCAGCACAGCTGTGAGGCTTGCACCCTGGAGGAGGCCGAGGCCCTTCCTGCAGCTCAGGCTCCCAGCAGAGGCTCCGGGTCACAGCATCTCACTCACTGAGAGGCCTGGCACGTAGCAATCCTCTCCACAGCAGGGACACTGACTTCAGTGGGGGGCGCTTTGGAGATGCAGGGAGGCCTGAGGAAAGTGATCTGCTGGGGGTAGAATCACGGTCACTGAGCCTGACCCCGAGCCATGCAGGGGTCCAGATCGTAAGCCCCCAAAGAGAGCAGCGTTCAGGACACCGCAAGGCCACACTCGGCAGAGCTGGGAGGTCCAGGGCGTTTGGTTGCAGAGGGTGCCGCCAGGCAGTGCCATTTTGATTGCCACGTGTCAAGGGGACTCGTGGACTTATGGGTGCCACGTCTCCCACTGTGCCGCCACAGGGGGCATTGGACTTGGATGTGTGACACATTTGGTAGAGCCACACACTGTGAGACCCAGCTCCCGCCTCTGCTGTATGATGCAGGAAAGTAGTGAACCTGCGCCCGTGAGGGCCACACACCTGCCCTTGTCCTGGCAGCGAGGGCTCTGGGGACAAGGGTGCCAAGCTGACCCTGCCAACGAGCTGTGGAGCTGAGGCTGGGAAAGGAATGTGGGGCCGTGACACTGGCATGCACCACTCCACTGTATGCAGCCAATTTGGAGCTCCTGGCTGTCCCCAGCTGCCTCGGTGGGGGCCAGGGCAGGGCAGCCCAGGTCACAGGGTGAGGTGTGCAGTTTCTGTTACAGAAGTCGTCTGGGGAGGAAGGAAGGGGCACCCGGCTGGGATGGGTGCCGTGTGGCTGCCCCAGGGTGGCCCTGTGCCCTAGGTTCATAGTTCGGGGGCCTCTGTGAGCAAGGGTGCTGGCTCCGCTTCGGAGGATCACCAAGGACACATACTGTCTCTCAGGGCCCCACTCTCAGGGCAGCAGTGCCTTCCACCACAGAGCATGCAGAGGGCTCCTCTTCAGTCACACAGAGGGACAGCACCATGCCATGCCTCCCGGGACAGATCTCCAGATCCTGGCACTGCTGCTGACAATGGGTCAGGAAGGGGGTCCCCGGAACCCAGTGTAGTATCAGCCCAAGACTGTGGGATACCCCAGTTACATCCAGCCAGGTGCCGCCCTGGTGAGCAAGGGAAGGCGGTGCCAGGTCCAGGCTTTGCAAGGTCCCCAGGCAGGCTGTGGCACAGGGAGCCACATGGTGCCCCTGGCCTCCAAGCCAGCCACACTGCCACTGGACTGACCTCGGCCACGTGTCCAATGCCTATCAAAGAGGAGGAAACGCACAGCTTCCCCGCAGGAAATCTCCACGTCCCAGACCTTCTGCCAGCCTCCCCAGGAATGGCCCAGGCCACAGCACAGCCGTGCTCCGGGCGAGTGGTAACGGAAGCGCACCTCCCACCGTCTGCAGCGGCTTCCGGGCCCCAGGGGCCCAGCAATAAAAGTCCAGAGCTGAAGGAAGGAGGATTTTAATAACCCGCTGTCAGTGGAGTCCGCACAGCAGGGTCCCGGGACTACTGACACTCGTGGCTATGGACTGTGTCTTGGCACTGCCACCTCCTCCTGGGCCATGGGACACCGCACAAGAGCCACAGCGACCGTGGGCACCTAATGCACTGTGACCACACCCGACACCGTGAGCTGTCGAGGTCTTGCCCACAGTGGAGTGGCCCCTGGAGGGCTAAGGTCGTGAGGAGACAAGAGGCAGGTCAACAGCCTCCACGGGGTCTTACTGGGTCCCCAGCACAGGATAGGGTGCCTCTCTCCTGGCATGAACAAACCCACAGACGATGGGAACGGGAAGAGGCTGACGGTTTAATAGCAGGGAACCCGCCCGAAACCCGAGGTGGGACAGGCCAGAACACGGGCCAGGCATCTCTACTTCGGTCTCTGCATCTTCCTCCTAGGGGTGTGCTCTGGTGACAAAGTCCACTGACACCCACTCCTGTGTCCACAGGTGAGAGGTCGGCGGGCGCAGCTGGCGGTCCAGACACAGGGAACCCTGACAGTGGCTCAGCTTCTCCAGCCGCCAAAGCCCTGCACAGATCTGCGGGGAAGGCAGAGCCCGTGAGTGCCTGCAGCGATCTGGGGGGCTGGGGACCCTGGACTGGAGACTATGGAGGCTGGGTGGTGGGAGTCGCTGGGGGAGACAAGCAAGAGCCCTTGCGACGTGGCCTGGCACCTCCTGTGCCCCCAAACCCGACAGCTGCTGCAGAGCCACCAGGATAGACTCCTGTAGCTGGGGAAACGGGGATGAAGGGCCTGATTGAGTGCAACGCAGTGCGCAGCCAGGAGTCAGAGCCACGTAGGCCTTCGTGTCAGGGTCAGACTGGGGGGGATGGGGCGGGCGACTACTCACGAGTTAGAGGCTCCAAAGCTGAACGCTGAAAACACAAGGGAAGCAGCAATTAAGGGGCGCCTGGTCGGCTTTGGCCAGGACCTCCCGCTCTACCCTGCCTGGGGTGGGAGTTGATCCTCTGCACCATCCTGGGGCTCAGTGCTCCCACCCTGGCTGCGGCAGAAGCCTGGGGTTCTTCACTGGGAAATCTGCTTCCCCCTTCCGAGGGCCAGAGAAACAAGGCCCGGGTGGGGATCCCCAGAGCCCTCTCTGTTTGCCTTGAGCACCTGTCAGGGCCTGCGCTTGTGGCCCGGGAGCGGCAGAGCGCTACGCATCTTGGTGCTGCGGGGGTGTGTGCGCGTACAGCCCAGACACCAAGAACACCCCAAGGAAAGGCTGCTGGTCATTTCTGCATTTGCTAAGAAGTGGTACGGTGTTGGGGTCTCATTAAAACCCAAGAACGCTTTACCCAGTTCTGGGACAGCCAGCTGCTAGGCAGCAGCCGAGCCTCTGGGGTGCTGGCTCCCACCGGGCACAGGCAGGGGTTGCCGAGCATGCGCAGCCACCTACCTCCTGTGTTGGACCCGAAACCAGAGAACCCGCTGCTCTGGGTCCCGAAGCCGGAGCTCTGCTGTGACAGCGACCCAAAAGTGGGTGCGTTCTGACTGGCAAGGGTGCCGAAGGATGTGGTGCTGCTGCCGCTCCCGAACCTGGTTCCAGTGAGAGGGACTGGGCTTAGGTGGCCGCGTGGTCTGCAGTCTGCAGGCCTTTGCCTGTTGCCATCAGCGTGCACAGCACGACGCTCTCGATTTAAGGGGCCAGAAGGAACAGAGCCTGGTCCTGGCAGACCGCCACCAGGGCTTGGGAGGACCTGAGAGGATGCGCATGGGCACCGGCTGGCCAGGCCTGAGCTCTGTCCCCCAAGACTGCACTTCCTGCTATCTCCACCGCCACTGATCGACCGTCAGCGCCGGCCCAGCGCTCAGCATTCTCATTTGTGTCTATCTGGAGGTCCTCTCTGGATCCTGGGTCTTTCTGTGTTGCTCATGCTGGCCTCAAAGTTCTGGGTTTAAGAGCTTCGCCCGTCTCAGCCTCCCGAATGGCTGGGACTATATACAGGCCTGTGTGGTGCATCTGACGAGGCCAGGAGTCTGCCACACACAGCATGGCCAGGCTGGCTCCCTGTGTCCTGCAGGGGCACTGCTGGTGGTGCTCAGGGTCTGTGCGGATGGAGGGCCACCCAGGCAGACACTATTCTGGTAGTAAGGAAAATAGCCCATTTCAGCTAACTAAGGGACTGACTAGCTAATAAATGGCTAACTCGCATCCAGCCGAGCTCTGCCCAGCACAGCCGCCAGCCCGTCCCTGAACAAGGCCACTGCACTGAGGTTCCTGCTCCACGGGGACTCTGTCTTCGCTTGGCCAGACTGGGCACGGGGCACTGACACTATGCCATAGTGGAGGAGGAGGGACACGGTGGCCTGCTTGGGGAGTTGGGGGCCCTGTCCCCCGCCCCGGGTGCTTACCCGAATCCTCCCGCGCTGGCGGCTGCGGTGCCCTCTCCGAACACTTTGCCTCCCGTCGAGCCCAGAGGGCTTGTAAAGGCTGGGGCTGAACCGAATGCTGGCACCCCTCCAAACCCAGGGGATCCCCCAAAAGTAGGAGGGCTGCCAAACACTGGAGCAGCACCGAAGCCACCTGAGCAAAACAGAGGCAAGCAAACAGAAATGGGTGGGGGGAGAGAGGAGAAAGACATCGAGCAGTGAAAACCCAAGTCGGAGGAGGAGGGAGAGAAGGGAGAAGAACGTTAGGGACTCACCAGGGCTGCACACTGACAAAAACCGACCCCAAACCAGGCTACCTCCCCCAAAGCACCAGAGGGGCCTGGGGCTCCCACCAGGAAGTCGTGCTCAGCAGCCCCAGCTATCTGTCCCCGAGTGGCCAGGCTTCACGCTTTGAGCAAAGCCGAGCAATAAAACTCAGGCTCTGAGCCACTCTTGGGGAGACCGAGACCTGGGTCACAGAGGCCGGCGAGATGCACAGGCAGCCTCCCTCCTTGGTCAGCAGCGCGCTGACCGCTCCTGCAGAGCAGGGCTGTGGATGAGTGCCAGCAGCCCAGGGATGGCTGGCAAGGAGGCCAGAGCTGCCGAAGCTTTGGCCTCTGCCACCCATGAAGGAGCCAGGCCTGCTGCATGTGGCCTCAGGGTGCTCTGGAGCTGCCCTGTCCTCCTGGAGGCCGCCTGGGTCCTTTGGAGACTTCTTGGACCTCTGCCCCTCACCCTCAGGTGGGTGTGCACAGGACCAAGATGCACAGGCCACCCTGCAGCGTGGGGAGCACTCCTTAAGGGGAGTGCTGGCTGTGAACCACAGCTGAAGGGTGTCACAGTGGCCTAGTGACCCTGAGGACAGAATCGGCCAGAGGAGGCAGTGACCCCAACCTCTCCTTTTCTGGAAATGGGGCCTCTCTGCGTTCCACCTTTGTGCCACAGGCCTTCCAGGCCGCCACGCCAGGCTCTGCCCGGAATGGGCACTCATCTGCACCAGCCACTGTGCACTCTGCACGGCCAGTGCCTGCACACCTGAGGCCCAGGCTGGGCTAGGTGCTGCCCTCTAACAGTGTAAGTGAAATTCCAAGCCGTGGTAACAGAGCTGGGCGTCACGACTACAAGAGGCTGGAAAGAAAGTGCTAAAAGCCCTGGACGTGAATTATTGAACAGGGAGTGCAGCTCCCATTACGCCCTCTTCCAAGAGAGGCAGCGTCTGATCTCGCGCTGGCACCAGCGGTATTCGGGGTTCTGGGTGGAAGCAGGGAAAACGGAGAAGGCGTGGTGACATGGAGCACAAACTGAGCAAGAGTGGGATGGCGCAAGGCACAAGCCCCAAATCACACATGTGCTCAGGCTTGGGGCAGGCCCCTGGTGCTAATTCAAGGAAGAGTTTGGTTTGATTAGCTGATTTTTATGACTTTTCTTCTGCAGAAGAAATAGAAACTTACTTAGTCACCAGTGATAACTGCTTGGGTTTTCTGGGACAGGGTCTTAGCAAGCCCAGGCTGGCCTTGAACGTGCTGCAATGCCCCGCCTCAGCCTGCCGGAGCTTCCACCCAACCAACGCTAACAGTTCTGCTGGCTCACTCGGTCCTGTGCAGCAGCTCCTGCTAGCTCCGCCTCAGGCTCGCCTCATTTCAGTCACCCGCTAGGGGAGCGGAGCGGAGAAGGAGCAGAGTGTGTGGCCCCTAGGCCACCCCTGGGCTCCCCGTCCCTGCCCGCCTCCTCCCACAGCACTGGAAGGAGCAGGGGTGTAGGCCCAGGGGCCTGCTGTGTGCCTCGACTTGCCCTGCACTCTCCCTGTCCTCTCCGGCAGTGTTCTTTTCTGAAGGGAGGACCTGGCCCAGCCTTGGGGACGTTCCTCCCGTCCCACACGCCTGAAAGGCAGCTCTTTCTGTCAGGGCTCTCAGTCTCCTGGCCTGTGTCACATAGGAAGAACATTCCCCGAGGTGGGAAGACAGACTTTCTCTGAGTGGAAAGGACAAGGAACCGTACATGAGAAGGACAGAGGGGCAAGGAAAACACTTGTGGGGTCTGGATGGCTGCTAGCCACAGCTTCGCAGTCTAATGTTCACACTTGGCTTTTTAACTAGGGCTAAAAGCCTGTGGCCCCTTAATTTTTAAACCATGGAGTACGTGTGTGCAGAGGCCTTCAATGTCTGTTTTGAGCCATTTTAAGATGGAGGCTGGAGAACCAAGGCCTGGCACCCTTAGACCAAGCTGCCAGGCACAGTCTGCAGTGAAGCCTGGTGCCTGCAGTAGCCAGGGTGCTGCTGGTTCGCGGAGCTGCTGTGCTCCTCTGGGTCAGAGGCACCCACCAAGCACCCTGCTCACCCAGGGCGGGCTTGAGCAAACAGTACCTCTGCCCCTCAGGTCTCAGCATGCAATGCCCCCAGGGGCCAGTGTAGACCTGCCACGGGCTGGGCACAGGAGCAGGCAGCCCAGAATGGAGAACGGCTCTCGGATCTAAGCAGACTGTTCTCGAGAGTCAGACTGCAGAGAAGCGTACCCCTTACACATGCAACCCTTAAAATGTGACACTGGGGACAGGGGGTGGTGGCGCCTGCCTGTCATCCTAGCACTCAGGAGGCTGAGACAGGATGATCCCCTGAGGTCTGAGGCCAGCCTGGGCTACAGAGTGAGTTCAAAGCCAGCCTGAAATGCATGGTAAGAGCCTGTCTCAAACCAACCAACCAACCAATCCCAAATCCACTAGGATAAAATGCAGTTGTTGAAGTGTGCACATTAACTGAGCTACCCACACCCACAGGTACACATACACTATGTTCAGAAGTCTCCCCCAAAAAGCATGTGGAACAGGGGCCAAAATGACATGGAGATGAGAAACTAACGGGTACACGGGTGCTCACCGACCCTGTGGCCCAGGCTGGGCTCGTGGCTGGGTCGGTTTGGTCTCTGCCACTGGTTGCTCTACAGTTACTCCCTGAGCGTGGATCCTCCCTGAGGAGGTGACACTGTCTCAGGTTTGTTTTAAGCTCCGTGCTCTTTGCAGCCTCTGGGAGGATCTGGCCAAGTGCTGGGAATGTAGCAGCTGCCTCAATAAGCCTGATGGTACACTGGAAGCCAGCGCAACCCCTCCCAGCCCAGCGTCCTGGCTCGGCTGCCCCCTCCCAGAGGGCCATGCATAAGCAGCGCACAGCAACGGCCATGGGTAACAGCGTGGGTACCTGCTTTATTTGGCGCAGAAAACCCGAAGCCTTGTGACGCCACACTCCCTCCTCCAGAGCTGAAAGTGCCGGCCGTCTTCTGCTCCCCGAAGGACGAGCTAGAGAACCCTCCGAAGGTCTTGGCCCCACTGTTCCCAAACAGGTTGGAGGTATCTGGGGGGACAAGACCACATGCGCAAGGGAGACATGAGAACCACCCCCTCACAGCCACTCCCGCAGGCCGCGAGAGCTGGGAGCAGTGGTGGCCTGGGACCTGCAGTGGCCTGGGACCTGCAGATGCCCAAGCCAGAGTCCACGGGCACAGAAGGGCAGAGGCCACCCCGCGGCTCTGGGGTGCTCAGACCCCGGAGGAGAGGACCTTCTTTCTCAGTGCCTGAAGAGCAGCATGGCGCCCGGCAAACCCAGTGGCCGTGGGGGCCATGCAGAACAGCGTTGCAGAGCTCCGGTTCCCCTGTCCTGAGGGGAGTGAGATGGTGGAGAGACATGTTGAGGTGCCAGGAGAGGGTGCATTCTTACTTCCTGCACCCATTCACTCTGAGCACAGACACCACGGAAGGGAAATGTTTCGGCTCTGCTCAGGACACCGAGGCAGCCAGCGCAGAGTGTGAAGATGTAGTGCCTTGGCAGCACGGCCTCCAACCCCACTGCAGGGAGTGGCCAGGACAGTGGGTACGCGGGTTGGGGAGACCGACGGGGGGCAGCCTGTGTTTCTTTTTCCTCAGTAATGTAAAGACCCGACAGCCACCAGACAACCACCATGGCTTTGATCGCATGGTTCCCGAGGCCAGCGAGGCCTTCCTTCCGACCTCCTCCTCCAGGAGGACCGGGAAACCCCCACCTCTCAGGTGGCACCCAGTGCACTCCACAAACCAAAGCGATAAAGGAAACCAGGGGACCCCAGCATGAGTCCCTTTGTCTGCTGCAGGAAACACCAGCCTGCTCAGACAGTGTGCAAACACCAAAGCCATGGAGATAATCTAGCAGCAGCCCGCACCCCAGTGCCTCTAGGCCAGGAGTAACCCGCAGTTCCCCAGCGGGGCTCTATGCCACCCTGAAATGCAGTGGCAGCCCAGAGAGACGGCCTACACTGGACAGCTGCGCACAGGCAGTGGAGGCCAAGGGTGGAGTGCAAATGTCTGTGGGTGACCAGCCCCTCCCCAGCCCTTGTACCCTGGTGCTGCCATCCCTCCAGCTGCCAGTCTCATCACACCAGGCCCTGATGAGGGAGGCCTGGCTAAGGAGGCTGAGCAGGACAGTGGACAGCAGGTGGGGACAGGTAAAGGTGGCAGGGACTCAGTGCGACAGGAGAGACGCTCCGGTGCTGTGAGCACAGGAAGGTGAGCGTAGGGAATCACGCTGTGGTGCTGCTTATTTCTCTTCACAGCTAGAAGAAAGAATTTTCAAATTGTAGGACAGGTTTACTGAGTGAACACTACAGAGGTATCAAACCTTCCTACTGTGGGGACAACCAAGGAGAAAGGGTCCTCCAGCTGCAGCCATGGCGGACGGGGGATCCAGTTGCGGGAGGCCTCGTGGAGGAGGAACATAGTTCACCTCATGGCGCCATCATGCAAGGGCAGGGAACGAGGTGCAGAGGGGTGTTTGGGGTCAGGTGTAGACCCCAAAGTCACTCAGCCAGATGTGTGCCTTCCTAACCCAGGCATCTCTCCAGCCAGACCAGCTGCCAATCAAGGTTAATACACAAACTACATGTCCCCAGGAAGACAGTTTCATGTAATTAGAGACAAAAGAAGGAAAAACGAACACGTTGTATTGAGAGGTCTCCGAGCACACTGCGGTAGAATAGAGCTGAGCCCTGCAGTCTGATCTGAGCCGGGGACCTCACGGCTGTGTGACCTTGGGCCAGCATGTGTGCGGTGCAGCTGCTGGGTGGCCACAGGGAGCCGAGGAGTACAGGGTGGCTCTTCAGAGGTGGAGGCTGTGGCACCAGGCCTGGAGGCTTCCTTCAGCGCCTCCTCCTCCTGCCACGCCGAGGCCATGTTCAGTGTGGAACACAGCAGCTTGGCCACAGGAAACTGAGTCCTCTCCATGTTGCAAGGACCCCGAGGTCACTCCCTGCTGCTGGCGGAGAGCCTGCATGGGGTGCGGCCTGCTTGCCATTTCATTACCAGGGGCTCCAAACAGCAGCCCTTACAAACAGCAGGGGCGAGCACCTCGACAGCACGGAAGTCCCTTTTACTGTGAGAGACCCAGCAGCAAGGAAAGACTGCATGTGCACAGCCTGACCCATGGGTGACACGTCCAGTAAAACTGGCGTCTGCTTTGGGCTTGCCACTGTTCCCGTCATCGGGGCTGACTCGGTCTCAGACACACACGAGGGAGGTCAAGCCTGATGCTGATAGCATCAGACCCTGGCTTCTGTCTTTCTGCAGGCCTGAGGTCACTGGACTAGGGACTCTCCACGACACTATTCTACAGACAGCCATGGAGAGCCTGGCTGGCCTGAAAGGTGGCTGCCGTGTGGCCGCCTCGACTCTGGCACAAATGTGTCTTTCAGGTTCTTGAGGAGAAAGGACGTAGTAGGGAGGCAGTGGGCCTTCTGGGTGACAGCCCCAAGGATGCTGTGTCAGTACCACTGGGGCTGAGTGTCTGTCTCAGCAGCCTCTGGGGCTGACGGAGCTAGAAACCCTAGCAGTGGGGCTTGTGGGGCAGAACATGCTGACTCCAGCAATGGTGCCCATAGCTCTCACCTGTGCATCACCTCACAGTGAGGGTGCTGTGGTCAGTGTCTCAGTTACTGTTTTCTCGTTGCTGAGACAAAACACCCAGCTCCCAAGGTTAAAGGGAGAAAGATTTCCTTAGCTCACAGCTTGTGAGGTTTCAGTCTACAATCGGCTTGGTCCAAGGAGGGGTGGCAATACAGAGGAGAAACAGTTCATGGCAGGCAGAAGGTAGCAACGCAAGCAAGGGATATGACCAGTCTTCTTCTGTCCCTTACACTGCATCCAGGCCACCAGGATTAGACCATGGACTGATCTGGTCATTACCCACCCTTTATCCCAGCATTGCACCATGAATAAATCACACGCTCTGGATCCAGCCATCTCTGAAGCCCCACCTGTGATTGCATGAGGCTCTGGGGGACATCTAGGCACAAAGCTGTAACAGTCATGGTCATGGCAAACTGGACTTCTCAGGCCAATTCAGGTGGCATCAGGACCAGGCAGCCTGTGTCATAACTATCACCAAGGAAACTGCCGGTTTCCTACCTGTGCTGGGACTTCCACCTGCAAGGAGTGTTCTGTGAGACCAGGCTGGGAGAGTCAGGGCTCAGGAGGTGACCCTGACTCAATTCTGGTGAGGGTGCCTGGCAGCCCCATGACCTTTGTAGCCCACACTCCCTCTTGGACATGGGGACAGCCTCTCTTGCAAGAAGCAGTTGGTCCACGTTACTAAGTAGCTGTACACAGCCAGCGACTGGTCAAGGTCAGCTTCCTCTGGCTGATGCTCGGGGAAGCAGTGAAACCATGGGCTGTGGGATTTTCAGAGGCAGAGCTCTCCCAGGGCCAGCCCAGGCTCAGGCAGAGGTGCAGCCTTCACCCATCCCTGCAAGGGAGGTTGGGAAATGGGTGTAGAGGGAGAGGACAGCACCTAATAAGCTGCCAAGCATCAGGAACAGGCTGGGGAGGGGACCCAGGACCAGATGGGACGCTAAATGGGTGAGATGCTCCCAGAGGGTGCTGAACAGGGGCAGGGCTGAAATAAAAGCAGCTTAGAAGCTATGATTTGGGATGGTCTCCCTACCATCCTGGTCTCCTGACAGGCAGGGAGTGTGCAGTGCCCAGTGGGTTGGAGAGGGGAGGAGGAGGAAGAGGATGGAAGGAGGAGGGAGAAGCAGTGTTCACATGCACGAGTGCTACGGCCACTCGAGGAGAAACAGCTGCCACCTGGGACTACAGTGGCACCAGGTACGAGGGTGAGGACCACGCCCCGCCCTGACTTCCCCCAGGCCCCTCCTGCATCATTCCTTTCCCTGACCTGTGCTTGGCCCTCGGCTGAGAGTCGTGGTCTTTCACTATCTTAAAATGAAATAATGGGAAGCTGGCATCCTTTGAGTTCACTTACTCTTTCCCTATGCACAAATGTAAACTGTTGGCTTTCAATGGACAGCCAACACTTTGGAGATGGCCCGCAGGTGGCCAGCTTCGAATTCATAACCCAGAGGTGCAAGTGCCCACAGTGGTGCACACGCCTAAAATCACTGCTACTCAGAAGGCTGAGGCAGAAGGACTCCAAGTTTGAAGCCAGCCTGGCAACCTAGTGAGACTGCACCTCAAACCAGAAAACAGAGAAGGCCCAAGGACGCGGCTCAGTGGTAGAGCACTGGCTTCTCTAGGAGACGCAAGGCCCTGCGGGGTTCCACCCAATGCGGAACAGAAAACCGGACAGGCACACGACAAGGATCGGAAACAGTATGGGCCAGTAGGTGCATGGCCCTCCTGGGACGGGAGGAGCACAGGCTAGACGTGTCCTCGCAACTCATACTGCAGCCTCAGTCATGTTTGGGCCGTGGGAGACAGTTCGGGCCAGGTGCAGCCAGCCTGGGGAAAAGGCCACCTTGACAGGGCAGCGCTGGGCAGCAGAGGTGGATTGGCCCACAGCAAGCCCCACAGACAGTACCCGAGGTAATGGCAGCTCCACTTCTAACCAGTATGTTATCAAGTGCTTGCTCTGTGCCACACACACTGGCTGGAATCAGCTCATCCAGCTGAATCCTAGATCTGCCACTTCCGGCTCTGACGTGGAGGGCCATGGCAGAGTAGGAACCTCCTGAGGCCTGCTGTGCTACGGGACAGCTAGAAAACTCCCTCGGGCCTCAGGCTTACAGAGCCCTGTTTCTGTATGAACCTCCTTATGTTTTACCTATCAAGATTCTGTTTCTGAGTTCAGCCATGGAAAGTTCTTGGAAAACGTTAGACCTGATTTCTCAGATGCCTCGTTCCCACAGCTCTAACTGCTGTGGGCAGGCGGGGAGCACGGGAACCCAGGTTCCTGATCTGTGGCTGCAGGAGCTGAGAGGTGTGTACCCTCAATATGCAATCTTACGTCTTATGGGGGGAGGAGCGGGGACAGGGACACTAAAACAACCAGTTCTTGACCTATGCATCCAGAAGAGCAAATGAGGATAGAAAACCCTTTTAACTCCAGAGGCCTTGCTCCTGGGGGACCCTGCCATGACGAGGGGACGCCAGCTCACGGCGTGGCTGCATCTCCCGCAGCACTGCCAGTGAGAGGCTCCGAGGGTGGAGCGCATGCACTGGAGGAACGGAGAGGAAGGTGATGGGCGACTTCTCCTGTTTCCAATCACGAGCTGCTCACCTGACAAAAAATCTCAAAACCGAGCTGGGGATGCGATCTCACAGAACAGCTCAGATGCGAGGAAAAGACCACTAGCAAGGAGAGAAACATGAGGGCCTCTGATCTGCGTAGCTGGCTCTCATAGGAAATTCAGACCCCGCTGCTCCGGTCCACTGGGAGTCACCGTACACTGAGAAACAGGGCGGTGGGGGCTCGGGAGGGGCTGGGAGAGCCAGTGCGACCCGCGCTCTCCGTGATCACAGGGGACCTCGCAGAGGCCTGAAAAAGAGCCACTGCCACTGTGTCTAGACCCCGAAGCTTGGAAAGTGTCACGAAGACCCTGGCACTCGGGACGGAGGGACTGGGAAAACTCTTGCCACTTACTTGGAGTGGCTGTTGATCCGAAGCCCCCACTGGTGGAGCCGAATGGGTTTTTGTTGGCCGCATCCTGGCTGGGTTTCCCTCCAAGGCCACTGAAGAAACCTCCGCCCCTTGCAGTGTTTCCGGACCCAAACACGCTCGTGCCAGGAGTGGACGACTGCTGAAACACAACAGGGGCAGGAGGTGAGCTGGGGTGAGAGGGCATTATCCAGCAGCAGGCCACATTTGCAGCAGGAGTGGCCCGGGCGGCATACACGCAGGCTCAGAGGGGGCAGAGCATGCCAGGAGTTCCCGCCATGTCCGTGTTTCCTGAGTGGACACGGTCTGTGGTCGGTGGGGATGTCCAGCGTTCCTCTGCCCTGCTGCCTGCTGTGCCTGACACGGCACCATAGGCAGGAAAACCAACCCACAGGCAAGGCACCAAGTGAGCGGCGGGGAAACAACGCAGACGCCACGGTGAGGACCACCAACCCTGACTCCTCCAGTGCCGGGCTGAGCTCAGGAGCAGCCCACAGCAGGGGATTACAGTCACTTCTCCCACACGCCTTCATTCTGTACTGACCTTCCCAGCGTCGCTGAAAGCCTAAATCAGCCCATTGCTGAAATGATGAGCCTACAGATCTGACTCGCGAGGGTACTGCTGACCTGGGTACATGCTGACTCACAGTGTACACAGCCAGAGGCCAGCTGATGGCCCCCTTGTCCCCCAGATATGTGTCTGGTTTTTGGGGGGATGGGTGGGTACTGACTATGGAACCCAGGGTCTTGCACCTGCAGGCTGGCACTGTGCTGCTGCACTCTCCCGGCCTCTCCTCACTCCTGACGTGGAGATGGCCTTTAGAAGTGGGCTGCTGCCAAGGAGCAGAGTGGTGGCACGGGGCCTGGGGGTCCTTGATCACCCAGCTCAAGGTACCGAGTGAATTAAACAAGCCTACTGTGTAACCACATGCTCAAGAAGGCCGCAGCTTGGCATGGGGACAACAGCACCAGACCCATCAATGGCTGAGCCTTTTCTGTGTGCTTGGCACTTTTCTGGGTCCTTGCAAGCAATCATTCAAGCCTCAGCCAATCACCTCCAAACGCCAACACCCCCACCTCCACTGCGGTCTGACTCCGCAACACGCCCGCCTGCAGCCCTTCAAAGACTTCCCTGAGCCACCCTGCCATCTCCTCTGGCCATCGCTGATCACCCTGTCCCGGTGCAGCATGGACACCTACCTTTTGTACCCTGAACAAGACAAACATGCTCTGTCTTGAAGGTGACAGTTTCTCTTTTTCCTTCAAATCTCTTTAAAAACCAAATAGTTGGCCACACCCACTTAATGGTAACAGATTTTTTAAAAACCAGGAATCCAATCATGAAAGCGAAACATATGTGATTACTGGTGAGCTGCTCACGCAGGACGGGAGTGGTGATGCCTCCCCCTGACCCCCCCGGCCAGGCCCTCAGCCGACACCAGGCCACAGACACACTGAGAGGTGCTGAGACTGCTGATGGCTTTACACAGCTCAGCCTACCTTCAGAATGCTGATGTGACAAACATACTTGTCCAGAGATCAGCGGTGACAACGCACAAATGACCTGGGCGCTTCTGTGGCTGCTTCACTGGGTCAGAGGATCCCTTTCATTTTACTTGAAACCGGCAACCGTTTTTACAACTTGAAACTACAGAGGCCCTCAGGACACACAGGAAGTTCTGTTCTTCTGCAGCACTCACGGCCAGACTTCGCTCAGGATTTTTTGACTCTGGACACTAGATTTAAACTGCACAGATGGAGACTTTGCTTTTTCAGCTTTTCTGCTGAGATCCCATTTTTGGTGTTTCTTGCAGTATCTTCCTATACATCTCTAGCCATTTAATTTAATTTTGAGACAGGGTCACACTATGGCTGGCCTTGAACTCACTGTGTAGCCCAGGCTGGTCTCAAACTCGCATCGAACCTTCTGCCTCAGCTTCCTGAGTGGTGGGGTCACAGGAGTGTGCCAACCCCGTCATCTTAGTCTTTGTCTCTAATGTTCAGATCATCGCTGGGTTGATTACATTGCTGTGTTCAGAAATCTGACTGCTGTTCCTTCCCCTTTTCTGGTTCTTTTTTCCACTTGTGTCTGTCTGTTTCTCTGCTACCTGTGGGCTAAGTGAGCAGCGTTATCCATACTCAGCTCCCGACTGTGAAGAGGCACGGGTCCAAGGCACCCAGCTCACACATATTGGGGCTGCGTCTGCATCTGAGCCTGCACAGCAGCAGCTGGGCTCTGACTGCTTTTCAGGCTGTCTTTCCTTCCTCTTCCTTAGTGTAACCAAAGTGTGGTGGGAGGATATTTAGGGCAAGAAAATTACTGTTGACTTGCAAATCTTTCAGATCCCAATCTTACCTGTGCTGTGTTTTGTGAGACAGGGTCTCAGTATGTAGGTCATACCAGCCCAGGCTGGCCTCAGATCCTGGGTGATCTTCCTGCCTCAGCCTCCTGAGTGCTGGACAGGAATACATCAACATGCCCAGCAAGCTGTACTTTTTCCTCATCAGTTACAATACACTTATTTAAAGTCTAAAATCAATGGCTTTTAGTATATTATCAATTTCTAAAATTTATGGTAAAATACATGCAACACAAAATTTGTCATTTTAACTTGTTTTTTGTCTTTTGAGACAGGGTTTCACTATGGAGTTTAGGTTGGCCTAAACTCACTTTGTAGCCCAGGCTGCTCCATCTCGCTGCCTCCCTCCCAAACGCTGGGACTGCAGGTGTGCACAACGACGCCGGGTCGGCTGACCCTTTCACATGCTCGCTCCAGTCTGGCTAACTGCACTTCCCTGCCAGCCTCGCCATCAGCTGTTTCCAAACGGAAACTAAACTACCACTGACAGGTCTCCCCGCCTCCGGGCCCTGGTGAGCGTAAACTGTGTATTCCAGACAGCCCCCTGTATCCTGTTCATCTCGCTCTGCACGCTCCCTCGAGGTCCATGCAGGAACATTCTGCATCACGCTGGCTTCTCTGTCTGTCCATCTGTCCGTCTGCGCGTGACAGGCGTGGGCCCCACTCCTTGACTGCTGCGGAGAATGTGACTGTAGACGCCAGCGTACAATCTCTGCTCCACCTTCTTTCAATTCCTTGGGACAGTGGCAGGGCCAGGGTGTTACACTCAGGGTTTTACAAAGGCACCAACCTGCACTTCTTGTCGGCTTTGACTTTTACCTCCCTCATGTTTAATTCTCTGACGCTTCTTTGGGGGTTGCTGCTGGACGGAACTACATCCCTGCCCTTATTATGTTGACACAGGGTCCTGCTAAATTTCTCAGTTGTCCAGGCTGGGCTGGAACTTGAGATCTTCCTGTCTCAGCCTCTGTAAGTGCCAGAATCAGTCCTGGACCACCATCCGTGACTGCTGTCAATCACCTCTTCTTGGGCTTACGGGTCCTTTCTTTTGCTTGCCCATAGCCTCAGCTATGCCAATAGCTTCTTGCAGTCAGAACATCTCAGTGTTTGGCAAGGCCTCTTTTCTACCCGGTGGGACCCAGAAGGGGCACTTGTTCCCGAAGCTGCCCTCCTGCGCTGCCCTAGCTGAGCTCTGTCCTCTGGTTCAGAAAGGCTTCCCTGCTCCACACTAGCCCTACACACGAACTCTTCCAGCAGGAATTCACCCCCCACATGGAGCACCCACGCTGTCTCCCCATGAACCCAGAGGAAGGGGAACCGAGAATAGCATGAGGGGCACACGGCTGGGGGGCGGCTCCTTCCTCCTCAGAACGCTCTCTGACAGGCAGCCTCGGCCACAGTGACAGGGTCAGGTCAAAGTCACCTGGGAGGGACTGCCCAGCCCTCCCCCCGTCCCTCCAGCTGGGAGTGCAGCTACTGGGGACAGGGTCCCGCAGACTGTCTCTGGGCCCCGGAGGACTCCAGCACCGGCTCCCCTGGTGTCTCACTGGGAGTGAGGTTTTCCTCTCTTTTCCGTTCTCTGTGGTGCTGGGGACTGAACCGAGGGCCTCGCCATATGCTAGCCAAGTGCTCTACCGCAAAGCTACATTCCCAGTCCCCTCAAACAATTTTGGCACCAGCAACTGAACTCAGAACCTTGAGCCTGCCAGGCAGGCGCCCTGCCATGAAGCTATGTCCTCACCCCTCCCTTTTTATTCCAGGCCCCCTTTTTGAAATTTTTGGGGTCTTGCTAAGTTGCCTGGACTGGCTGTGAACTTGTGGCCTCCACCTCAGTCTCCCCAGCTGCCAGGGATACAGGTGTGCACCCCACCAGCTGCCATGAAGGCGGTCTACATGCCCCGCCCCGGGTTTTCTGAGGACCCCCTACCATGGGAACTCACTCTCACAATGTCTCTCCTGCTGTCAGTTTTGGCACAAGCAATGCATAGAAAAGGTCTCGGCTCACACGAAAACTATCTTGGCTTCATATTTAGTCCCTCGGGTTATAATCTAATCCCTACGCAGGAAAAAGGGAGATGAGTGGACTGTGCCATTTACACTGCAGGAGAAGTGCAGGGAGGGAACGTTAACTGTGCGTTAACTGTGGAGGCAGTTCAGAGTACAGAATCCACAGTACAAAGGCAGTAACACCTGCATACTCTCTGTGTTACAGCCGTCAGCGACCCACGGAACGTGGCTGTCCATTCTCAGGGTGAGGTACAGAGCAGTGCCAGCCCACCTGCCTATCTGAATGCGGACGGGGATGTGGGCTGCTCCTGGTGTTGGGCTGTGGTGACAGTGCTGCTGTGGACATCTGTGCACCCTGGATCACAGCACATGGGCTTCCTGGAAGAACAGACCTGGGTAAAACTGGCTTTCGCTGGCTGATAGCAAACTCCTGCGGTGCAGAAGCACAGGTATGTGCTCCCCAGAGCCTCGTTTATGCCCCTCACGAAGCCAAATCCCTTTCCGTCTACTGGTCCCATGTCTGTGTTTTGAAGGCTTTTACTCCTCTTTCTACACTTTAATTGTGGTAAAATATGTAGACACAGAATTACAGTTGAGCCGGATTCAGGGTAACCACACGCAGGCCGGTCAGCAGCACTCTCCTCTGCCTCGTCTTGGGCCTGGCTTTCCTGATGCTCATCAGTGGAACGAAGCCGAGTGCTGACCACAACCTGCTGAGGGCTCATGGCTGCTAAGCGGCTTGGCGTCCACACCGACACCCTCGGCACTCCCAGAGGTCCCGTTGCCACTGCTCTGCAGGTCCCTCTCTTCTGATTGCTTTGACCTTGGTCACTCTGCCTGTACTTCACCCTCTGAGAAAAGCGGGGTACTCTGCAGCCAGTACCCCTGCAGCGGGCCCTGCTCCCCAGTAATAAGCCTGGGGGTCATCCCCTTGGCTCTGAGCAGGAACAGCAGTTAATGTTCCCTCCCTACACTTCTCCCGCAGGTAAATGGCACAGTCCATTCATCTCAAAGGCCTGCAGTTGTTCCTTGTTTCACTGGCGATCAGTACACTGCTGTGAGCATCTTTCCTGTATCTTTTGGTGAAAAAAGACACCTGCTGCCGCTTGGATACCCAAGGTGGATCTGCTGGGTCCATAAAGACGGGGTATGTTTAGTGGATGCTCAGGATGTGATGGGAACTTGATCTACTCCTTGCCCATACATGGCACTGTCTGCCCTTTTATTTTTTATTTGTCTTTTTCGTTTTTATCGGTACCAGGGATCGAACTCACGACGGCACACTTGCAAGGCAGGCGCTGATGCCAATATGCTAAATCCCCAGCCCCTGCCCTTTTATTTTTAACGGGAGCAGAAAATGCGCCCTCCGCCACTACACTTCAGTTGCCCAGGTGACAGTTCCTGTTGCAGTCCTGGTTGCTTCTGCCTTAGACACGGCTGATCACTATGATGTGTGTGGTACAGCCATGTACTCCACTCAAAGACAGCCACGTACTCCACCTCTGTCCCCTGCCCTCTAACCCCAGAAAACCTGCCTGGCAAGTGCCAGCACTCTCCTGTGTTAGGTTTCTCTCACAGGATTTCTGCTCTCCGTTGTATTTTCCATCCTGTTTGCCCTCCACCCTGCATGTCAATAACCTAGCTCCTAGTTCAGGGACTAAACCCCACCCAGCATGTTTCACCGTAAACCGCGTGGCCATTCCTGTGCCAGGCGCACAGCTGAGCAGCGGGCACACTGTGAGTAACCCACGTCAGGCCTGCAGCGCTCCTCTGCGACCCTGGTCCTCAGACACCACTGCCCTGCCCCAGCGAGGTCTCCATTGTCCTTAAACACACCCGCACACCTTCAGTTTGAATTACTGCATTACCTTTTCCCTAGAAGTGCTACTTGATTTTTTTTTTTTTTTTTGGTCTTTTTGCTTTTTATCAGTACCAGGAATGGAAGTCACAACTGTCTGCTTGCAAGGCAGGCGCTTATGCCGCTGAGCTAAATCCCCAGCCCTTGCTACTTGATTTTTTTCAAAGCTGCTCACAACACTTTCAATTTCCTCATCCTAACTGATATGTTTGAGTTAGTCTTTTACCTCTACTAAGCATATAAACCAAAGTGTCCTGAGATCATCTCTGCATGCATTTCTGAGACTTGTTCTGGCCCGTGCTCATAATGCCTTTTCCCTGTGTGGTTTTGGAGACAGAACTGTGAGAACTGGGGTCCTTAACAATTGTCCGAAAGAATGACGCGTGGCCTTGAGGAAGTCCCTTTGCTTTAGAGGGGAGCTGGGCTGCCTTTGCCCAGCTTCTGCAGAGGCCACAGCCCTAGGACCATGGTGGACCATGTGCATAGACTGACCCTGTGAATTGAGTCCCAGCTCACCACAGAAGTCACTCTTTTGGGTTTCCTACTCTGTACATATTTTGGAGTTCTCTGTCCTTGCAGCTGTTAAATATAAAAATTCCCATCTTCTCGGGTTAGTAAAGGTTCTGAAGGCAGAACTGTGTCATGCGTCCTCCCAGGCTCCCATTTCCCATCTGATCTGGCTTTGGTAAGACACCCATTGGTTTATCCAGGCTTCCTGTTTTCCCTACTATTTCTGGTGTTTGGCAGAGAATTGGTTTGAATGACTCGGGCTTCCATTACCAGGAACTGGAAGTCACAAGTTTCATTTCCTGGGAAATTAGCTCAGCAGCATAAGTGCCTATCTGGCAAGCACGGGGTCGTGAGTTCAATCCCCATTATCAGAAAAAGAAAGAAAGAAGTTTCACTTCCCTTTTTCAGAGATCATGGCATAAGGCAGCGCCCGTCTTGTTTCCCAAAGGAAACAAGAGCTGATATGGAAACCTACTGAAGATGTAAAAGAAATGTGCCTGCCCCTCACCAATTCCTTCGCCAAAGCGTGTACTGCTCAGGAGATGTTGGCCTAAACAGCCCTCGGCACCTACCTGAGATGCCCTCCTGAGCCAGGCCGGGCACGCCGGTGACCACAGGCTGCAGGAAGGGCAGCAATTCCATCACCAGCAGGAACCCTCCACTAGAGGTCAGCACGGGGCCAGGCGCATGGGTGAGTGGGTGAGCTCTCTACCACACACTCTTCCTGTTCCTTTTTGTAAGAACTTTAAATAAAGTCAGACTTAAGGAATTAGCCTCACAGGGGCTGGCCTAAGAGAAAGACAAGGCTAGGCCAGGATATCCCGGAGGACTGCCACAGAAGGTCGGTAAGCACTTGGGGTCTCTGATCTGAGACGGATACTCTGCGTCTTTAGGACAGCCGAGGGGGCTGGCCTTGGACACACAGCATGATGATGCTACACCGGGACTACAGCGAATGGGACACAGTGCCAATGAACACACGGCTTTACCTGGCCAAAGACTGTCCCACCAGTACTGGCTGCCTGACCAAACACTGAACTGGAACTGCCAGATCCAAAACCTAGAGAATAAAAGAAAACACGAGTTCAATCTGGATCAGTCTTTTGCAACATGAAACATTCCATTTTCTAGTCATGACATTCAGGCATGCAGTCAACTGAGGAATAACTTTTGGATAAGCTCCTCGGTGCCCCACACGCTCTCGGCATCTCCCATCACTTGCACTACCCGGTACAAGGGCGATGCTGCCAGCAGCTGCTGTCCCCTGGTCAGGGAACAGGGATGAGAGAGCAAGTCCACGGTGTTCAGGTGCTCGCTGCAGGTCTCCCGGTGGTGCCTGCCCATGGCGGGTTCGCGCCCGCGAGGCAAGGCCAGCCTTGCTCACTTTGTCCAGCACTAAGCTTGCAGCGAGCCAAGCCCTCCTCTCCCTCGAGCAGGTGAGGCCTGGGCTCTGCACTCTGAGAGCAGCTCTTCCCAGGCTCTTATCACCTAGAGTTCTTGCCAGTGACTGGCCGACTCCTGTTTTCCCCTGCACCTCAAGCCCCAGACCCTTCCAGGGCAGCTTGACCTCCGTCAAGCGAGCATCACGTGTGGAGATGCCTGGCTGCACAGGAAAGGCTGAGGTTAAGAGCCTGCGTGACAAGGGCTCGAGACCAGAGGAGGCAGATGCGTCTGGGTGGCCTGCCAGGCCTGGGGAGCCACCCCGAAGCTTCCGCACAGGTGCTCAGTGGAGCCAGGCCTCTCGAGGTGCCAGGGGCCAGGGCGGTTTGAGGAAGCTCCAGAAGCTCCAGCTGCAGAGCAGACTCAGCATGGGACACAGCCTCCCCAACCTGTCTGCTCCCCGATCAGTGTCAGGGGGCCTGGGACTATTTTTCTTTTTGCCTGTGTTGTAACATCTGCTGACAGGAAAGCAATTCCTTTCCAGTGAAGTATAAGCCATCTGAAATACATGACTGACTAAATCAGCAGCGGCTTGTAAACTTGTCCACCAAGAAATCACCGCTCCTCTTTCCCTAACAGCTTGCCAATCCCCTTCCTAGGAGACCTGACAGAATGCCAGACCTAAGAACGGCTTTCAAACTGATCTGCCCATAGGCAGCTTTAGAATAAAAGCAGCTGTTAAAACTGGAGACATAAAAGTGGAACACTGAGTCTTTTCTTTCAAAAACACTAGTAAAATGTAAAAGCTTTTGTTATTTTAAATCACAACACTGGAGAAGACAAAAAGCCAACTCCCCACGCATCAGGCATCCATCAGCAGGCGAGACGGCACGGGCAACCAAGGGCCGCAGCTTTCCGGGCCCAGGTGCGGTGTGGCGGACCTGCAGTCAGGCCCCTGGGCAGCTCGGCTTCGGACCTGGTACCCGCTGTGCACGGCCAGTGGCCCCACGGCCTTGACTGAGGTGCCAGGGCTCCTGTGCGGCCAGCGGAGGGAGGACCTGCTGAGGTGGAAGAGCCATTGAGGCCAGGGACACCCCTCAGGCCCCACATTTTCACTGCCTTACAGGTTAGTTTCTGCTCCTATGCTGTTTGCTTCAATTACAAAAGTAACGCAGGTTTCCTGCAAGTGTTCCAAAAAGCAGGGGAGTGAAGGAAAAGCCTTCTGGGAATTCTTACCTGAAGCCTGACTAAAGCTAAAGCCTGAAGGCGCCGCCGTGGAAGTAGTGGCTGAGGCACCCCCGAACACGGAGCCACCCTGCCCGAAGCCAGGGCTCTGGCCGAAGGCGGGAGGGTTGGTCTGTCCAAACAGCCCTCCTCCGGTGCTGGCAGAAGACTGTCCGAATGAGAAGGAGCCGGGGCTGCTGGTGCTCGAGGAGGCCCCGAAGACGCTGCCACTGGTGGACGAAGGGGTGGAGGTGGCAGGCTGGCCAAAGGCTGGCACGGAGCTGAACCCGGGCTGGCTAAAGGAGAAGCCACTGGCGGGGCCGCTGGTGGCCTGGCCAAAGGCTGGGGTCTGCCCGAATGCTGTCTGGCCGAAGATAGCTGGGCCCGAGGCTCCAAAGGCTGGGCTACTGAACCCTGAGCTGCTGACCTGTGACGCCGCAGTGGCTGTGCTGGCTGTGCTGCCTGTCTGCTGCCCAAACAGACTTGGTGCCGTGCTGGCTGCTCCCTGTCCGAACACAGGGGTGCCAGAGGGGGCCGTGACTGTGCTGCTGGTGAGCTGGCTGAACGCTGAGCTGGCACTGGCAGTAGGTGGCTGAGTGAAGACAGAGGAGCTGGAGGTGGCGGTCCCAAACACAGCTGCCTCTGCAGTGGGGCCTGGAGCACTGCTGGAAGCAGGGACAGAGGTGGGAGTGGTGCTTGATGTATCCACAGCCACCAGGCTCACACCTGGGGCCGTGCTGGCTACCACAGCAGAGGCTGGGAGGCTGGGGGCAGGTGACGTGGCCTCGTCCTTGGCATCGGGAGCCCCGGGGGCTGTGGGAGCAGCCTCAGAAGGAGGCCCTGCGGGGCTGGCACTAGCCGTGGCCAGGGTGGGGCTGTTGGCTGCAGGCTGCAGAGCGGGCTCCTTCTTCGCTGGGTCAGAGGCCTGCAGGGGAGCCTGGGAAGGGGCTTGTGGCTGCACAGGAAGTGTGACCGTGGATGCCGAGCCCTCGCTGCTCCCTGGCTTCTCTGGCGTGGCTAGCGATGTGGCCTCTTCTGTGCTCTTTCCTGAAGCCACGGGCAAGGAAGGGGTAGGCGCTGAGCTCAGGAGGCCACTGAAGGACATGGTGGGAAATGATGCTGCAAGGGGAGTGGCCGTTGTCACCCCTGGGGGGGTGGGTGCGAGTGCAGTGTCACTGGTTTGCTGGATTCCAAATGAAAAGACAGTCTTACTGCCACTGAGTGATGTCCCGCTGAAACCAAGAGTGCCTGTACTTGCAAGTGGCAGACTGCCAAAGACCCCTGCCGAGGAGCTGGCCATGCTTGTGCTGGTGGTGGCCAGTGGTGCTGCAGGGCTAGCAGTCACAGTGGAGGTGGCCAGGGACTCAGCAGGCTTCCCGAGCACTGGAGAGCTACTGAAGCTAAACCCAGAGGCCATGCTCAAAGTCTTGGCTGGATGCGCCCCTACCAGGCTCGGGGAGGGGGACTTACTGGGTGGCTTTGCAGAGTCCTCCACTGGGCCCACACGCAGGCCCGAGAAGCTTCCCAGAGTTTCTCCAGCCAAGGAACTCGGGAACAAAAGCTCTCCCAGCTTGCTGGGTGGGGTGTCTAGCTTGCTAGCAGCAGTGGGCAGTGTAACCCCGGGCCTGCTGCTGGAGGGCAGGGGCTCCCCTGGAGAGGTGGCAGTAGTTCCTCCGGGAGTGCTGGGGGATGCAGCAAGTCCTGAGGGAGTGGCGCTTTCAGGGACTGGTTCATAAAAGGGCTTGCTGCCGCCAGCGAAGGACAGCGCATCAAGCTGGTTTGCGTCTTTGGTGGGGGATGCTGCCCCTAGCAAGAGAAAGAAACGGGAAATCAGTTGGATTACCCATGGGCTGCAGCTCACACGCTCAATCCAGTGCCTCTGGGTCTCCTGGGGAGCAGGGCTCAGCTGCAAAGGGAAGTTCTTTTATTTTAGTATGGGCACAAAATGTCAATCCCCAGATAATCCTTTTTTAAGGCACGTACTAAGGTGCTACTAAATAAGCTATTTTAACACAGGTGTTGTACTGTTTCTAGTTTTGGCCTGCTGTCTATTAGTGTCAATTAAAATGCTTCTATAGAATTACTATTGCATTTCATTCCTATTTCCTTTTATTCTTCCTTCCTGTGGTACTGGCATGTGCTCTAACAACGAGCTATACCCTAAGTCTTTTTTATTTTAAAATAGGGCCTTGCTAAGTTGTCCAGGCTGGCTTTGAACTTGTGATCTCCTGCCTCAGCCTCCTGATTATCTGGGATTACAGGTGTGCACCACCGTGCTCAGCTCCCTGTGAGTTTTGACAGTGACTTTCTTCCTCTCGAATCCTTTTAAATCACAGAATTATTCTCCCTCTGAAAGTCAGACACGGTGGGCCCCACTTAGGTATGGGTCTTCTGCCATACCTAATTGGGGGAAGGCTGAAAGACAGTTTAAGAATTTCTCCTCTAGAGATGAACAAAATTGCTGATGTTTTATTTGTTTTGTTTTGTACCAGCGATCAAACTCATGACCTTGTGCTTGCCAGGAAGGCACTTATGTCACTGAGCTAAATCCCTGGCCCTCACCAATGTTTAAGGAGCATTCTCTGACCGGGTTAGGGTGCCTGTGATGCTCTCAGGCCCCGGGTCTTCCCCAGAATTCAAGGGGAGCCAACGGCACTAGTAAGCTCTGCCACATAGTTGGGCACAGAAAGCACCTTGCAGCATCAGCTAGTACAGAGGCTGAGGCAAGAGGACTACTGGAGTCCAGCCTGAGCAAACTAGCTCTCATAATTTACAAAACAACAACAAACTCCAAAAAACCAAAAAACTGTTTTTCACATTTCTGGGTCTAATTTGGCTCTCTGTGTGTTGTACTGGTACTGGGCATTGAACCAGGGCCTCACATCTTGGAGACAAATGTTCTACCACTGGGTCATATCCTGAACCCAAAAAGATTTGCTGAATTAAAGAATGAAAGTTGGTTACTGTGTTATCTAAAAGAGGAACATATTGGAAATAATCAATATGGTAGCTGGACAGTTAGATAAACTGTAGGATATCTAGAAGACAGACTTATAATTAAAAATGACATTTTATGTAATATTTTCCATATTGGAAAACTCGTGCTTTATGGTAAATGAAAAACTAGACAAAATTCCCAGAAGAAGATGTAACAGAATTGGTGATACACATCTGTAATCCCAGTACTTGGGGAGCTGAGGCAGGAGGACCATCCGAGCTCAATGCCACTCTGGGCTAGAGTGAGACTGTCTCAAAAACCAATCAGACAATCAGACAAAACCGTATTACTGGGGGAACAAAGTGTGCTTCTAACATCTCTCATGTCTTCTTGTATTTCTACATTTTCCTCAAAAGGAACATTATTTTTACAAATAAAACTTGCTTTAAAAAACAAAAAAGATAAAAGGAACACAAGAGCCTCAAAAGGAAAATATAAAGAAAAATTAGAAAAAAAAAGATGAAAAAAAGAAAACGGTCAGGGATTTAGTTCAGCGGCTCAAACACCTGCCTAGCAAGCATGAGGTTGTGAGTTCAATCCCTGGTACCAAAGGGGGGGGGGGTGGGAAGAAAAGAAAAATTAGTTACACTGAGATCAGGAAGGTACTTCAGAAAGAGGTAATTTTCACATCTTCAAATTTTTGTATGCATTAAAAACATACTAATTCTCAAGAAGAGTCAGTTGGACTCATATGTAGGGAAATGCGTGTAGCCTGAGACCATAACATGAAGTGAAATAAATCAGACACACATGCTTAAATGTCATCTGGCTTTTCTTATATGAGAAACCCAAAGTATAAATCAATTAAACAGTAAAACTATCCTTGTTGGTGGGCCGTCAACCACACGCATGGCCAGTATGTTTGCTGCCATGTAAGCCAGCAAAGCAAGTTTGACCTTTTATTTTTGTGCTGGTACGTCTGTCTTACCCTACAGAAATATTCTACAAACATTGTAAATTATGGACATTTTAAATTATGGACAAAAAAGATGGAGAGAGAATTTTTTTTAATTTTTGTCTTTTTGAGATAGTTTTGTTCAGGCTGGCCTTGAACTAACAGCACGCCTCCTGCCTCAGCTTCCTGAGTGCGGAGATTACAGGCATGTGCCACCACATCCAGCTGGAGAGAGCAATTCTAATTTTGTGTTAGTATCCAGATTTAAAGCACAGCCTCTGCTTCCCAGAAGCAAATCTTTTCCCTGACCTTAATTACAGAAAGAGGCAGAAATCCTTCACATCAGATTCTTTTTTTTTTTTGGGTACTGGGGATCAAACTCCAGGCCTAGCACTGGCCAGGGAGGTGCTTGTGCTGCTAAGCTACACCCCTGGCCCACATCAGATTCTTAAACTGAACCTTCTTTTCCCTTTGCAGTGCTGGGGTAGAACCAAGGGCTGTGTGCATGCTAAGCCAATACTTGCCGCTCAGCTAGCTCCCAGATGTATATATTTTTTCCTGGACATATTTTTAATGCATGTTAACAACACCAAAATTACAGCAGAAACTGTAAACAAGATCCAGGAATATTGAAATGTCACCGCATCTGTAGAAATGACCTGCAGGTGTTGGGAGGGGAGCACAAAAACAACGCTATGCAATGCAGACTGTACCTTGTGCAGCAGTGAAGTTAGAAGATGGGGTTGGTGTGATTATCCCAAAATTAAAGCCAGTCCTGGCAAATGGAAAAAGAGAAGTTAGCACGAAACACATCCAAGGCACAAAGCCTTCCTTTCAATATTCCCCGTGATTCGTTCACATAGCTCGCCTTGGAGAGGCTTCACTCTTAAGGTCTCTAGCAGGGCAGGTGATGGGGGCATGTTGGGGAGCAGCCGGAAGGCCCTGGAGGGAGGCAGGCATCTGGAGAAATATGAACCGCTGGCTTAGGGAGCCCAGCACCGCCTCTGCCACTGCTCAGAACTCCTTCCCTCTGGACACAGTCTCCATTCTCTTCCTGGATGTGTCCCCGACACACTGGGACAGACCTCACAGCTGAAGGAGCAGACCCGGCACAAGTGTGGTCCAGGACAGAGGATTCACCATAACACAAGCTCAGAGAGCAGCTTTCAGACTAAGTAAGGGTTTTAGAATGTACACATACGGTAGAGCTTAGAGTACATTACCCACTGCTGCCCTCAGGACGTGACATGTTTTATCGCCACAGGGTACAGCCGTGTCTGCTGGCAGCCTCCAGCCTGGTGGAGAGATCTAAGGAGGGTGAGCCAGTGCAACGCTGCCTGCGTGCTCTGCGATAGAGAGGATGACACCTGGCAGGGCATGGAGGCCGCCAGCACCCTCAGCCCTGACCTATTCTTTAAGATTTGCTCCCAATTACACTGGGGAGTAGCAATCCAGATGCGCAACAATGAAGAACTCGTGTGGTACACACAGAGCCTCCCCTGCTCCTGTCAGGGCTGGGGTGGCACACGCTACAGGCTGTCCAATCTGCTCTGGGGCTAGGACCTCCGAGATCCTGCCTCAGCCTGACTGCAGTGGGGGGAAGGGGGCAGTGCTTGGCCCTGGCCCCGGAGCGTACCTGGGAACTCAGGTACCGAAGACACTCTCACTCTACACAATGACTGGACTCTACCCACATGGCCACAGTTGTCAACCAACAGCTTCCCCACCTCTGCAGAAACCAGAGCTTCAAGTGCTTTTCTCTTATGCTGCACGCTTGGTGCAGTAAAGCTAATCTGAGCGTCACATCCAGAGTCTCAGGAGTGTCAGGAAGACGCCATCTCAGCGTCACAAACCAGATTGCCCGAGGAGCTGACCAGGCACAATGGCCCAGGCTCCTAAGCCCCCCTGGTTGGTATTGGAAGGCCCAGCTACTGCCACACTCGGCCATGGCGTCAGTGCGAGGAAGAGGCTGTGGCCAATGCTGAGTCAGCATGCACGCACAAGCGCAGGCACACATTCATGCACACACATGTACACATACACACGCACACGTAGGCCTGCCAGATGTGTGAGCCAGAAAGGCGGCATGCCCAGAACTGACCCCGAGAGTGTGAACGAGAAAGGCTTGCTGCCTTGCCCCGGTGCAGCAGGTGTTGAGGTCACTGCTGGGTCCACTCTGGCCGGCCCGGGCCCTGCAAGGAGGGAGAAGTCTTTTAGAAGCGCTGCTTGGCTCATGGTTCCTGCTGCTTAGTGTGAGCGTGGCTGCTGGAGCCCTGCTCACCATCCTGTGGGCCCCGGTGCCCCGGGAGCAGCTGTGTGGTAGACTGAGCTCCAGCACTCAGAGCTCGCTCCTCTGCTCTGCCAGAGTGAATTCCCTTTGGGGGACGTCACGCTTTCCTTTCCGGGAAAGGTACCAAAACAAGGCCAGGATGGTTCAGTTTGAGGCTGTAAAAGTACAGCCTTTTAGTTTTTACGTTGTAGGAAAGTGCTTACACTGTGAGACCAACTGATAAATACGTACAAATATACACATGTTCATGTACATGCGTGTATACAGTGTGGCTTTAAATCAGTTTAAATGAACATACAATGAAGGAATGCCGGGTCTGGTGGCACATGTCTGTAATCCCTGCACTTGGGAGGCTGAGGCAGGAGGACTGGCATGCGCTCAGGCCAGCCTGGGCTGCATGGTATGTTCAGGACAAGCCTGGACTACACAGAGACCCCCGTATCAAAAGGCGCAACAAGCTGGGCATTCAGCTCAGCAGCACAAGTGCCTGCCTGGCAAGCACAAGGTCATGAGTTCGATCCCCAACCCCACCCCCTCAAAATACAAAAAAAAAAACTCAAAACAACAACAAAAAGCAATACACTGAAGGGAAAAAAAATCCAAAGACAAGTAGGTTAGCATGTTAAACATTTCTGTGCAGTAACTGCTGATGGAATGCATGCCACTCAGTTCTTTAAACTGTCTTCTAGATGTTTTGAAATTTAATGAAATAGTTTTCTTTCCTCTGCTACAGATATGGTATATGATCATCACAGTTTAAAGAAGCATAGAAACTAACTGCAAATCATCACCCTCCTGGGGTTCAACTTCATTCTATGCACTGGTATGGGGTACAATTCTCAATATTTCTCATGCCGCCCTATTTTAATTGGTTTTTTTTTTTTTTTTTTAATACTGTATTTAAAGAGGACTCCCCCTTGGCCAGGGATTTATTTATTTATGTATTTTTTTACATTCTTTTTTTTCTTTTTCGCTTTTATCGGTACCAGGGATCGAACTCACGACTGCCTGCTTGCAAGGCAGGCGCTTATGCCGCTGAGCTAAATCCCCAGCCCTTTAGCCAGGGATTTAGCTCAGCAGCACAAGTGCCTGCCTGGTAAGCACAAGGTCATGAGTTCAATCCGTGGTACCAAAGTAAATAAACAAACAAATAAATATATAAAAACAAAAAGCCCAAATGAAACCACACCCAACAATCATAACAACAAAATATGCTTTCTTTAAATGAATATGGGAGAATAGGAGAGATGTACCATGGGTCCTGGGTAGGCACTAGAACGAGAAGGTGCATCTGTATCAGCCCTGGTGAGATGGCAGGGCATTTACCGTCACTCAGAGGTGCTACGGGGATGCCACTGCTGCAGTCAGGATAAACAGGGCAGTGACGTTGGGCAATGCAAAAAATTGCTATGATAGAGAATTTACAGGGCTGCGCCTGTCCTGTGTTACGGATCTCCCAGTACAAGTTCGCTCATGGAGACATGACAGTTGCTTTCTTTCTTCCCTCTGCACCCCCTTCCTTTTCCTTTTGCAGTACTAGGGGTTGAACCCAAAGACTTGTGCATGCTACTCAAGCCTGCTCCCACCAAGCTACGTTACCAGCACTGATATGTAGTAGTCTCTTATATGAAAACAAGGAAAGTATTGCCATTATTGATCTGTAAGAGAATTACTCAGCAGAGGTTTTAAAAATGCTAAAAAAAAGAAACTTCCCACAAACTCAGGATTTTTCTGGGACGATTTCTTCCCAAAAGAAAAATGCTCTTTTTTAAAACTCAGATTCTCCAACAATGAGACAAACCCTTAGTGATGAAGGCAGCCTTCCCTGCCATCCCGAGGGCTAAGTAGCACAGGGCTCACCGTAGGTCACAATGCTCACTCGCCCACCCAGTCCCCATGAAACAAAGTCCTTCCTTGAAGAGGAAGGGCTCGCTAGTGAGTCCCCAAGAGAAGTTAGGATACATGATCCTTTTTTTTTTTTGGTACCAGGAATCGAACTCAGGACTGTGCACTTGCCAGGCACTGTGCTGCTGGGCTATGCCTGGGCCCAATCTTTCTCAGCCATCAGCAAAAACAGAAACACATTTCTCAGTCTGACTTCTAAACGATATAATAATCTGAATCTCAGAACTCAGCCGTGGCTTGCACAGGAGCAGTTTCTCCGGAGGGAGGGAGTGTTTGTGGAGAGGAGACCCGACAGCCAGCCAGAAAGCTCTGTACAAGGGAGAGTGTCCGCGTCACCGTCTGACTGAGCAGCCGCTGGGGGTGGGCGTGGCGACTGTGTGCAGTTAGCTTTAGGATCTGACTCGTTTTGGACCTATCAATCAAGCTGCAAACGATAATCCTGAGCGTGGTAGTGACGCAGGCTGAGGCCACACAGTCACTGAAGCAGAGTCCTTTGAACCGAAGGAGGGGCTGCAGGAATAGCGCCCAGAGGGGACACTGAGGAGGACCACACGAAAAGCAGTGTTCTGGGCTGGCCTAGGCACACCAGCCATGGTGGCCGTATCCTGCTCCTGGGAAGCCACTTTACCCAAGAATAACTATGCGGGAGTGAGCACTGGGCTTGCTGCAACGCAGGGAGTCTTGTCACAATGACTTACTCTCTGCCTGCTCTGAGGCCTCCCACTGACAAAACCACTTTCCCTTTTACTGCTTCTGAACTGTCGCGGTGAGCCAGGGAATTTTTATTCCTTTCAGAGGAAACAGTGCAATCCTCTTACCCCTCCTCCTAGGCAGAAGCTACTGCTGCTTCCCAAGAAACACCTGGAGAAAGGTTTCCCCTGCTGTGCTAGCTTTCCAAACTCAATTCCAAACTTCAGAAGCTGCTGAATGTCTCACGGATGGCCTAGACACTGTCCTTCAGCTCAGGCCTTTCTGGTGTGACCTCTGAGCTTGATCTCCCATGTCGACTGTCTCAGTGGCCCAGATCAGAACTGTATTAGGCGTTTCTGTCAGTAAAACTGACCTGAGCCTTTATCAGCAGGTGACAACTGACTGGACACAGGTGTAAGTCCGGATGGCTTCAGGGAGTTCATCAGAGAGCCCTGTACACGACACAAGAAGGTATTTCTGATAAATCATGAACCTCATTTGGACTAAGGGAACAAACATGGGAAATACAAATGTAACAATATAAACTAAGCAAGCATAAGTAGGTTCACTTGGCTTAATTACAAAAAAAAGAAAAAAAGGCAGGGGTGGAGAAAGCAAGTCAGAACTTAAGTCGGGCACCAGCAAGGTTGCCCTGGAGGACAGAGGGCTGCCAGGTCTGCTCAGCTCAGAGCTGCCTCGCCAGGGCCTTGCACACTGCCTGGCTCAAAGGCCCTGGGGTACTTTGCAGTGAGTAAGCAGGGTGGGAAATCACGCCAGCCTGCTGTGAATATACACAGGTTTGTAAGCAAAGCCATGTTCTCTGCCTCCGGTCACTGTTCCTGCACTCATCAGCCATGACCCATGCCTTTCCCGTGTCCTCCAGGGGCCAGAGCTAAAACCTTATGAATGTTATCGAAAATACACAGCAATGTGAGTTTTAAAGAAGTTAACTGCCGCGAAAGGAATAATGCCGCCAGTCCCCTTGCTCTGAATGCGATCCCACACCCTTGCCACTCTGCAGCAGCTCTGGAGCCCTCCTTGCTGTCTTTAGCTGCTCTGCTCTGGCTGCCTCGGTGTCCTGCATCCAATCAAAACACTTCCGTTCACGGTCACTCTGACTGGGAGAAGCCGGAGCCGGCCCAGTGCCACAGCCAGTAGTGAGGTGGTGAGGACACCGTGTCGCGCTCTTCCAGCCCTGGCTTTCCGCAGCACAGTGCCAGCAGCGGTGCTCATTGCATTTCTGATCGTACCTCCTGAGGACGGGAGAGAGCACTCACAGGTGCTTCATCGAGGGGCCAGCGTGCAGGGCTAAGTGTGCACAGAGGGGGATCAATGGCAGCGTCTTTTATAGTATGTCTTTAAAAATACAGGGGAGTGTGGCTGAGAACCAGGTGTCCTTAGGATGCATTCCAGGCAGCTCGGTCCACCCTCCAGTTGTCTCCTGTTACTTCCTTCTGCACTGCTTACAGCGTGACCCATTCTGCAGCAGGCACTGCTTAGCAGTGGAGGGACTGGAGCCAGACACAAGGTCAGTGAGATCAGGCAGTCCCAGAGACTGCAGCAGAGAGCAGGGCGGCTCGGCCCCAGGCACTGACGCCACACAGTGTGGTGAGAGCCTCGGCGGGGGTTGGGATTCCGAGGGCTGAGATGAAGCTCAGGGAGCACAAAATGCAAGCCAAAGTTGCCCCTCCCACTGAGGAGGATTCTGTCATGGCCTGTTAGGACAGTGTCCCTGGTGCAGGCCTGCTGCCACCACCCAGACGGTACCTGCTTGGCTTGGCTGCCAGCCATTGGGGCCAACACGGGGTGGGGCGTTTTGGCGGTGGGGTACGGCAGCGGAGACCTGGAAAACACAAAACGTCCACTTAGAGAGGCACGCTCGTCCCTGGGCCAACTTTCTGTCCAGTAAGAGACAGCAATTTGGGGGCAGATGTCCCCAGCCCCAGGCCAACTCATTTGACATTTTGCTGAGTGCAGAGTAAGTTTTTAAAATAAAATTTGGGGTTTTAGTACAAAGGTCACTGTGGTGACCTTACAACACATTTCCTTCCTGTATGATCTTTTTCTCATGTGGAGAGTGAGCCCAGCCTGTGTGTCCTCCACCGTCTAGCCAGGTGGAGAACTGCTAGCTCTTTCCCAGTCCTGAAGAAATGTCCAGCAGGATCTGTGGGACAGACACGGTTGGTCAGCTGCCACACACAGCTCAGGGAACGATCCTAAGAAAAGCTGTCGGCCCCCCACAGCAGGGATGGCCAGGATCGGGGCTGTCGGCTAGGGTTCCAGGGACTCTGTGCTCAACCTGCACTCTGGCATGGCACAGTAAACACTGCAGGAAGACGGCACAGACACCGCACGTTGCGTGACTTCAGGCCGACACGCAGGAAACCCACTTGTCAGTGTGCTCACAGACAGCAGCTCCGGCTTCTGCTCAGCCCAGAGCTGCTCTGGTTGGTATGGACAGCAGGCACGGCTGTAGGGGCTAGTTTTTCACAACTCTTCCTAAATTTAGGGAGAATTATTTTAATTTTCTACCAAAAGATTAACTTGGGGCTTGGTGTGGTGCACATGAGTGACCCCAAACTCTGGAAGGCTCAGTCAGGAGGATTAAAGTCTGAGCCCAGCAGGGTGGCTAAGAAAATCCAGGCTCAAAATAAAAAATAAACAAGAGCTTGGGCTCCGGGCTCCGCCCAGGGTGAAGACCTTGAGTTCAACTCCCGATACGCAAAGACAAAAACAATAAAAGAGGGTAGGTAAGCCTGTGCCCTTGAGAAAAATTATCAATAACTCAACCTTCCGAGGGACCTCATCAGAGGGAGAAGAAAAGCAGACCTTTCCAGGGAGGCCATGCTGCAGCCTCTCCTTCAGCTGGGAGTGGCTGTGCCATGCAGTGCCCTGATGCCCTCTCCAAGGGACACAGCCTGGGCGCGAAGCCTCGCCCAGCAGCTCCGGGGGCACAGCGCTGCGCCCCACAGCTCCGAGAGCCTTGGTGGAAGGACAGGAGCGCGCAGCTCTGCTGCTGGGCCCAGACATGCTGGGCAGACAGAGCAGCCCTGCAGCCCTGCTGGAGGAAAGGTCTGAGCCCTGGGACGCACTGAGGAAAGCAGACGCTTACTTTTTTCTCAAAGACAAACAAAAAGGAAACTACAGCTAAAACTAAAAGTGGCCATTTATTCACATCCTGGACAGTTCTTTATACTCCAAATTTAGTTCCAATATGACGGTAAACTAAAGCAGGCAAGTACTCGACTGAGTGGAACAATCCTTCTCTTTATTGCGATAACGCTCCAGATTTCCTGGGAACCCTAAACCCCCAAGCACAAAATTAGGGTTTGCAGAACCTATACACTGGGCCACATGACCTCCCTGCAGGGAAGGGCTGCAGAGCAACCAGTAGACAGACCAGCTGATACACTGCACCAGAAACCTCCACTGTGACCTCCAAGGCAAACACAAGAGTGAGACCTACTCCCAAGTACACTCGCTTAAAGGCTTGGCCCGGTCACAGACAAAACAATGGAAATCAGCAGCCAGAGATGTTTGCAGAAGGGAAAAGCTGAACACAGCATCACCATGTTTTGGCTGCTGTTGGAGTAACAACCTTCTAGCAAGAGAGACCAGAAAGACACCAGAAATTCACCTTACCATCTACAATCAAAACAAAACGCAATTCTGAGTGTAAAGCGCAGTTATAAAATGAGGTTGCTAAACTAATAGCATTAAAACGTTGCATGGGGCATTTTCTTGGTGGCCTAAGTGAATTTGAGTATGGTAAGTACTAACCCTGTTATTATGAAAAATGTCAGCTACTCAGCCTTTCATTCATTCTGATGGTCCAAAGGTTTTTAAGGGAGAGCGTCAGTGCCAGGCACAGCAACGCAGACCTATTGGCCCAGCACTGTGTATGCCTGAGACAGGGGACCCGAGTTCAGGCACGCGGGAAACAAAGTAAAAGTAAAGAGGGCAGAGGGTGCAGCTCAGCGCTGGGCTCTGGGCTCAATTCCCAGTGTGCTTGTCTTAAAGTTTTAACAAATCAAGGCCAAGTAAATATCAAAAGGACAAAGGTGCAAGAACACATCATTAACTACAAGGTTTCAAACACTCGAAGACCAATCAATCTGACAGATCCTCATCAATACAGTCCAGTGGGGGACAGAAGAGTCTTCAAGAAATGGTGCTGGGAGCACTGGACATATAAATTCAAAAGAAAGACACTGAATCTGTGCACCATTTACAAAGAGGAGCTCCATGGATCACACACCTAAGTACTGGAGCTAAGACTTTAAAACTCTCAGTGAGTCTTCTGGCCTTAAGTTAGGCGGTAGATTCGTGAACACCACACCTACACCACAGAAGCAACAAGAGGAGAAACAAACAAGCTGGATTTCAAAATGTAAAACAGGCAGCGGGGCTGGGCTATAGCTCGGTAGCACAGCGCCTGTTTGGCAAGCATGAGACTGAGTTCAATCTCTGGTATCAAAAAATAAATTAATTAAACAACAACAAAACAGGCAACGGATCCGACTGGACTTTTCTTTATAAAAAGCAACAAGAGGCTCAAGAGCACAGGCAGACCCCTGGGCATCACCAGGGTGGAGGGACGCACAGGTCAAAGTCAGTGTGAGCACTGCCACTGGCACTAGGAAATGGTCCAGTGGTGCTGTCAAGCAGCCAGCCCTTCGCTAGTGCAGGAAGCTGACTAGGGAGTCCCCATGTGGTCTGGTAGGGTCCCCCTGAGACAGGGATGCAACCCCCCGCTGCCTGTCTGTGCTGCTGTGGCTCTCTAGCAACCTGCCTGCCAGCTGCAGCCCCAGGCTGGGCCCGGCACTCTCTTCCCAGATCTGTGCCCTGGCTGGGCAGCATCAGGGCAAGGTCACCGTCCCAGAAGCTGGAGCCTCCCCGCCAGCCTGCCCAGAAGCAAGCACCACTTATCCAGCACAATGCGCGCTCCACCTGTTCACTCAGCTTCCTGCTCACATCTCCCAGCCTGCGGGAAGCCTCTGTGCCTGCTCCGCCAACTGCTGCATCTGCAGCACCAGATCGGCACCGCAGCATGCAGCCAGCTCCGAGGTAGGTGTGGAAAGGAGGAACTGCCTGGGTGCCCACGTTCCCGAAAGCACGATGTGTTCTGAGAAACAGTGCCCCCCACTTTTCACTGCTGTGGCCCCACTTCCTTACTGTCTACTTCCTGCCAGGCCCGGCTCTGGACTAGGCTCTCCGGTACCTCGATCTTCTTGCCCTGCTGTGCCTAGCAACTTCCACGACCCTCCACATGGCAGCTCTGACGCCTTGCTCACACCGAGCCCTGTGCCCGGGCTCTCTTGCTTGGCCCCTGCCTGGCTTTCCTAGCACCATCCTCTGTGTGCATGGCAGCTGTGTGCAGGCGGGAGCAGCATGGCATGTGCTCCGGGTGAAGCCCTTCCACAGCAGCAGCTGCTTGGTGCGTACTGAGGCCAGTGCAGAGCAAGTGTGCCAGGGGGAAAGGCGGGTGCCTGCCCTCCGTCCCCTCAGGAAAGTGAGGGCAAAAGCAGGAGCAAAAACCTCAGATACTGAACATCTCCTGCCTTCGAGCACCTGAAAGGAGTCACTTCCCACCAGACGCCCCCTCCAAGCTTTCCTGCAGGAGGTGGGAACCCTCCTTTTCTTGATTGATTATGCTTAGTTTGCCAATTACTGAATAACTGCTTATTAAAAGGAGCTGTTTCATCCCTGTGCTGGGCACGTACGTTCCATCAGGCCAACGTGGAGGGGACCAGAAGGGAAGATTCCTTGAGACCCCTTCTCCAACTTCTGTGCCTGTTTCTCTTGGCAGAGAGCCAACCCAGAGGTGCCCCAGACACAGCCCTCACAGACACCAGCTCCAAGGCAGAGGACAACGCCCGAGAATGCCTGAGCAGAGCCTCCAAGCAGCGGTCTCGCTCTATTGGCTAAAAGCCCTCGGAGGCCAGACCCCAGCCATGCTACATGCTGCACTGCCGGCTGGGTACCCCTTCTGGCACCCCATGCCTCCCTACAACAGGAATGCACAATTCCCCAACATGAAGGTGCAGCACCTTCTCTGTGTGAGCTCCCAACCACGCTCCATGGCCCTGAGGTCACAGCCAGGCTGGAAAGCAGGCCTGTCTTGTCACTGTCAGAAGGGCCTGAGCCAACTAAAAACCTCCCCAGATGGGCAGTGACAACACATGGGCCACCTCAACAGGGAAGGGGTGTGCAAGTGGGTCGCTCTGGGGTCACAGGGGGCATGGCGGGAGCTACCAGGCACCAGCTCCCAGACACTGCTCCTCAGCCCTGCATGTCTGAACCAGGGTGCGACCCTTAGCCTGTCTCTGGCACTGGGAGGGTCGTGCCACAGAGCAGAGGACTGCAGGCGCCACAAGCTGTGCGGGGCCCAGTGTGGGAGGTGATGCCGTCACCCTCCGCAGGCTCAGAGCGGTGGGAGTCCTCTACATGGAAGGCAAAGGAGTTGGGGCAAAGGAGTTGAGCTCCCGTCTCCAGAACCAGTGGCTGGCATCAGACTGCCAAAGCGACAATCCTGGAATCCGAAAGTCAAAACATGTGCTTCACTTAACAGCCTAACCATGCTGGGCCAGGTGGTGCACACCCATAATCCTGGCATTTGGGAGGCTGAGGCAGGAGGACCACTGAGGAGTTTGAGGACAGCCTGGGCTACACAGTGAGACCCAAGGGGACACAGAGGCGCTAACATACCCCATGGCTGCGGGTGGGGCTGTGGGGTTGTTCTTCAGCTCCTGCACATTGACCACCTGAGGCACGTTCTTCAGAGTCGATTCTGTCAAGGTGCTGACAGCTGTGGGCCCAGAGGAGAGAGAGCCTTGTTAGTTCATTGAGGCACCCTGCTTCCAGCCGCGCAGAAACCAATGACCAGGATGGGAGCTGGGCAGGCCACAGCCTCACCACACAGGACATCGGCGCTACCGCCACCAAAGTGACGGTGTAAGGCTGTGTGAGGCAGCAGCGTGGGGGTACAGGGCACACGGCCAGCTTTCTGCAGCTGAGCGGAGACTCCTACTGTGCTGCTGTGCACCCAGAAAGGGCAGCGGAGGCTGGAGGCCACCTGGCCTAGGCTTGAGTTCTTCCTGCCCCTTCGCCTGTCCCCCTTCCCCTAGGCTTGGTACACGGCAGGTTCTGTGCAGTGCTGAGGGCACAAAAGCTGCCTAAAGGGTCGTTGGACTCATGGCTTGGTGTGCCAGAGACAATGGAGCACCATGTGGGGACAGAGCTTAGGCAAGAATGGTGACATGGGCAAGGTCTGATTAAGAAATGGCTGCAGATGGGCTGGGGATTTAGCTCAGCGGCATAAGCGCCTGCCTTGCAAGCAGGCAGTCGTGAGTTCGATCCCTGGTACTGATAAAAAGGAAAAAGACAAAAAAAAAAGAAAGAAAGAAATAGCTGCAGAGACCAACCAGGGAGGCCTGCCCCCTCCATTGCCACCTTACAGTATTTTCCAAAGGCGCAAGGCGTTCTCTGCGGAGCCACTGGGAAGGCCTGTGCCAGGCTCTTGAGCCCCCCTGCTAACTCTGCCTCCCAGGCATGAACTCATGACCTGGGGCTTGCTAGGCAGGTGCCTATGCCATTGAGCTAAGTCCCTGCTCTTATCTTAACATTTCTTCAAAATCTTGTATCACTATTTAATGGCAACTCTCCTGCCTAAATCAAGTCCACATGTCTCTTCAGCCTTCCTGAAATGAAAACTCTTGGTTTAATCACTTTCTTAAAGTGGCACAAGAGACACCTTAGCCCTGTGCATGAGCTGGCGACACCCTGAGAGCTGTCTGTAGATTCTCAGCCTCCACCTGCGATGCCAGCAACCTTGCCGACCTTTTCGGGAGAAGTAGAAGGAAGCTGAGAACCACCGCGCTGGAAATCAGTAAGCAGGGGTGACTGAAGTCCTGGGGCCACTATCCGCACCATTACACCCCAGGAAACCCACACAGCTACCAACTACTGCCAACAGATCAGTTTGTTAGTGTGCTAGGGTTTCTGCCTAGAAAGGCTCAGCTTATAACACTAAGGAAAAGCTGTCCGGAGAAGAAAGAGCACAAGACTGGAGTCTGGTTCTGCTACTACTTTTCAGGTAACTTTCATGTCTAATTCACCTCATGTTACCGAAGTGCAAAATGAGCACATGAATGCCCACTATTCTGGGTGGATGGGACTGCAAGGTACTATGAGATGTTTCCATTATTAGATGACCTGGCCGCAAAGATTAATTTTAGGGCTCAGAACAGACAACAGTCAAAACAGGGATTACCAACATGACCCAAAATGCCCTGATTCCCAGGTGGCTACCGAGTGGCAGTTGTAACACCTCCCCTTGAAATGCCCTCTGCCCACCATGTGTGGGCACCACTGCCTTCCCTGCTGGGGGTGGCAAAGCCAGCCCGCTTTTCCTGCCACCTGCAGCGGCATGGCGAGTGCTCACCTGATGATTGATTGGCCATCTGTCGTCTCAGAGCCGCTGCAGCGGCCGCCTGGGGCGCAGCAATGGGGTAGGAGGGCCCAGGAGCACCATGCTTCACTGTTTTTGTCGCCAGCATGGTGCTGTCAGCCCCCTGAGGAACAACTCTGCTAGCAGATGTGGACACTGAGGGGAAAAAAAAATGAAGTGAGGAGACAGACAGTTCCAGTGGTCAGTTCCTCATGCTGAGCTGCAGGGAAGAGGCTGCAATTAAACTCGCTTAAGCACTAATGGAAAACTACCAGCTGGCGCAGAGGCTGGCACCTGCATCTTCCGGACATCAGATGTGGCTTCTGTGTCCCCTCTGCTACATACCAAAGCACAGGATCATTTCCCCGCATCCTGATGGACAAGTGGCTGGGATGCCAGGAAGCAGCAGTCCCTAACCCCCTCATGAAAGCACTCTTTTCTGATGGAAGTTACCTGACTCAGAGCCCTGACACTGCACTGAAGGTCAGAGAACCACCTGCGGGTCCCTCAGGGACTTTGGCATGGATGCACTGAGGGGGCCACAGGAGTCCCCCTCCTCCTCTGGTAAGGACAAGCTGGACCCCACACTAACACTGTTGCAGTGTGTAACCTCTTGGAAGCTCACACTTCCTGAACCCCTAGTTTTGGGGAGGCAGACGTGCTAGAACTGATTGGTGTCCTCGTTCAAGGCGCAGGCACGCTTGCTCTGCTGGCTGGAAACCGGACAGGGAGCATAGCCCTCCTCACTGCGGACTTACGTGGCGCTCCCACAGCGGAAGGCGAGGAACTGTGGCCCAGGTGAGATTTAGCAAAAGGCACCGCCTGGGGCATGAGACCCGGCTGGATGGAAGGCGTGCGGACCACAGGTGCGTGCCGGGGGCCCGGGACTGCCGCTGCCTCCTCCTCCTCGTCGTCTTTGCAGGTCGCCCGCACTTCTTCACCCTCCAGAGACTGGGAGACAGACGACGTGGAGCTGGCTTCGTCCAGGTCCTCATAGTATCTTTGAGACAGGAAGGCTGACCGAGACAGGCTGGCTGCAGAGGTCCAACAAAGCGCAGTTTAGACAACTCACAGCAAGCCTGCGAGCCCTGCGGCGCGGCTGCAACAAGGAAGGGGCACACCCAATCTGTGCAATGGGCCAGCGATGACACTTCTAAGTGGAAGCAGCTATTGTTGAATGCGAGCAAAGAGGGTTTGGGGTCTGTGCTCAGAGGAGCTCTGAAAAACCAAGTTGTGTAAGGCAAGGACATTGCGGCTGCCCAACTAAAGGATGAGAGAGTGGAGACTTCACAGACGCTGGCAGGAAAGCCAGGACCTGGAGCTCTCACCGCAGGCTCCTGCTAGCACAGAACCATGCATCAGAAAGAACAACGCCGGACTTCCAGAGCACGGGAACAGCCCACGGGCTCTGTCACTTCCAGCAATCTTCAAAGAGAACCCTGGCTGATGGGATCAGAGAGCCCGGCCTCCGTGTGAGTGTTTCCAAGGATTCCGTGGGTCCGCCATGTGTGCACACCACAGCCTAACCCTGGCTTCTCAGCCTTTTTTCCTTCTTTAAATTATGAGGTAAGACCTTGGCCATATTACTTTCTTCCATGAAGTCCAGAGTAGGTGTCACTGCCTATTTACTGGAGAAAACAAAAGCCTAAGACAGTGCTTAACCCTCTCCCCTTCCCATGCTACTTGGAGCAGCGTCGTTACCACTGACTGATATCACCCTCAGGTTTTAATGTCACGCTGTAAGTGCGACACCCAGAAACCAACCGTATGTGCCAGGCCGGTGCTGCCCCACTAGCAGCCTCTAGCTGTCTGCAGTTATTTCAGTTTAAAGTAATCAAAGGTAAACAAGTAACAATTTGCTTTTTAGGGACAGTGGCCACATGACTAGTGGCTACAAAACTCAGGCTATTTGCAGAAAATTCTACGGGACCACTTTGTGCTAAAGAGTTCTGAGGCACATACATGCACCGGGTCAGCGAAACTCCATCTGCACCTGCCATGTCCCCAGCAGACCTGCAGGTGACCCCTGGCGAGGGCCTGCATGATGCTCTCTACCTGCACCGGCCACCCAATCCTTCAGCTCATCCTCTAAGTGACAAACTGCTGTCACCCGAGACATTAGCACTGTGTGGAAGACGCCAAGCTATGCCAGGCAGAACTGCTCTTGGTCCCCTGGTGCCACTCACGGCTATGTGACAGGCAAAAGGGATTCTGTGGGGACAGTTCAGGCCACTAACCCATGACCTTTAGTAGAGAGGTTTCCCTGGATGACCCAGTCAGGCTTAGTAACCTCACGAGCGCTACAGTGGCAGAGCAACAGAGCACAGGAGGCGGATGGGTAGGACACAGCAAGAGCGCTGGCTCTGGAGATGAGGACTCCAACTCACAGCACCTTCCCCGGACCTCAGGTAGGTGTGCAGCCCAGCCAGCCCACTCATGCCTGATCTAGACGTCCATCCATGGAGCTGGGGCTGTCTGAAGCCAATGACTGCGAGAATGTGTCAGAACATCCCCCAAAAATGAACGCCAACCCGGCACTCCTCGGGCTATGGTATCCACTACTGCTTCTCCACGACCTGAGCTCCCAAGGGTTTGTAAGGACTGAGACTTTCCCGCCACGAGGTGGGAAGAGGAGCACTGGCCCAGCTGCATGACTCCCAAGATCCGCTCTCTAAGGAGGTTCACTCTGGCTCTAGAAAAGCAGAGCTGGACGGCTCAGTTGCCCAGCAAATGGGCACTGCCCCTACTCTTGTGACAGAGGAGACCCCATTTCTGGCACTGGTGCAGAGAATCTTACTCTGCTGGTGCTTCACTGCTGCAGAATCTTACTCTGCTGGTGCTTCCAACAGCTTAGGAAAGGCAGAGAGCTGCAGGGAGCAGGGAAGGAGGACTCAGCAGGCCTCAGTCTGAGGTGAAGTGCGAGGTGGTCCTTCTGAGATCAAGGTGTGTGTGGACACCCGTGAGCTGCTTTATGGGATGCTGCAGTGGACACACCAAGCAGGTGGCTGGGCACTGGTGGTGCACACTTGAATCCCAACTCTCATGAGGCGTGAGGATCATGGACTTTGTGGCCAACTTAAACTACATGTGAAACCCTATCTCACCAAACCAAAACACAACCCCACCATCAAAACCAGGCAGTGCAATAAGGTAGTAAAAAGAAATCAAAAGACTGGGAGGGCAACCACAAGTGTCAGAATCCATGGGCGATGGAGTCCTTTCTATAGCTGTAAGTTTAAGGAAGAGCTATAGACTTTATTTGAACAAATGAAATCTTGCAGGCCCTTGGCTAAAGTCAATATGCAAAAATAAAATGTATTTCTATAATCTGTATCCAACATCAAATTTTGAGGAAAAAAAAAAAGGAGTGCAAAAAACACTATTAGAGTAGATCTAACAGAGGATGTGCACCTCTCCCACAGAGAACATTGAGAGGCGGCAGGTGTGGTGGTGCCTGCTGTACCCCAGCACGCAGAGGCTGAGCAGCCTGAACTGAAGAGTGAGGTTGTCTCAAAACAAGGAGAGAAGGCCAGCCAACCTCTGGTCTACCCTGCAGAGCTCTGCATTACAATGACAGATTGCGTAAGCCCGTGCTGGTCATGACAGCAGCCACTGGTATACACGAGTAATTACTCTGCACTGGAAAGTGTGGCTAGGGGATTACAGAACTTAATCTTTCATTTAAATTCATTACAATTTAAATAAGGTCCTGTATTGGTCAGGACAGTTTTGAGACTCCAGAAAAAGAATAGTCCTGAGCGCTGAGTCTAATTTTAGGGTGGGTGAGATAAGGGGTATTGGCAGCCTCTCTTCTGCTCACTGGCCATCTGTCCTGGGAAGTGGCCTGTGGTCAGCAACATGGAACAGGGCTGGCTGTGGGCAGTGATGGTAGAGGACGCCCCTCCTACCATGCAGAGAAGGCCAAAGGTGTGGCTCCGAGGGTCATGGACCAGGTGCTCAGAGGACAGCAGTGAGCGCCGGGCACCCAGGCGGATGAGTGAAGGGGTTGTGTGTGCGAGTGTGAGTGTGACAGGACACTCCCCATCGCCTCGGGAACTATCTGTATCTCGCAACACCAAGAGCACACTGGGTAACACCTCCCCTCCGCAGATAGGGCCACTGGCCCCTGAGTCTGAGCTCCTGCCTCTGACTTCTCTGACAAGTGCTGGAGTGCAGACAGGCTACACCCCTCATGACGCCCCACACGGCCTGGGGCCGCCTCATCTGCACCTCAGCGGACAGAGCTTCCTTTCTAAGGACACCGTCGGACACACTGCCCCACCTCTTGGTACCCAGGGACCAATTCCGCTATAAATGTGCAGAGAAATGTCTCTGTGAAGCCCTAGTTTAAGCTCTGGAGTCCTGTGCTCACTTGGGCAGCACATTTAACAATCAACTCTGCAGTACTTATTCAGAAGTGGAATGACTACTTATAATTTTTGTTTTTTAAAACAAGGTTTGGCTACAGAGCCCAGGCTGGCCTCAAACTGGTGATCCTCCTGCCTCAGCCTCCGGAGTGCTGGGATTATGGATGTGCACCACTATGCCTGGCTATTTCTAAACACACAACCGTCTTACACAGAGGCTGCTCCAGCTTGCTTTCATACCGACAGTGTAGAGTGTTCTAAAGGCTTGGGATTCTCACCAATATCAATTTTCTGTATTTATAAAATAAGGGCTCATAAATTTTTAATTCAAATAATCAGAACATAAAACTTTAAATGTTTTTAAAATTCCCAAATCACGGGGCTGGGGGTTTAGCTCAGCGGCATAAGCACCTGCCTTGCAAGCAGGTGGTCGTGAGTTCGATCCCTGGTACCGATAAAAATGAAAAAGACCAAAAAAAAAAAAAAAAAAAAAAAAAAAATTCCCAAATCACTTTCAAAAAAATCAGATTTAAAACGGGGTGTGGTAGGCGCCCTCCAGTAATACCAGCACTCAGGAGACCGAGGCAGGTGGATCGTTGCAAGTTTGAGATCAGCTACAAAGTGAGCTCAAGGCCAGCCTGAACTGCATAAGAAAAAAATCATGATATAGTAAAACTAAATTGCAGCTATTTTAATAGATTTTACGAAAAGGCATTTGCTGCTGGCATAAAAACAAAACAGTTTCAGTAAAGAAATGCAAATGTGGGCACTAAAATAAAATAAAGCAGATTATAGCAAATTTTTGGGAGGGGTACTGGGACTTGAACTCAGGACCTTGCACTATATCCCTGGCCCAACAAATGCTTTAAAAAAAAAAAAAAAAAGGCAATTATTTAGATAATTTAGTGGCAAAAACTTTTTATTGCTACATGATTTCTTTTCACCAAAATTTTCTTCGTGGTACTGAGGACTGAACCTGGAGTGCCCTACCATTAAGCTACACCCAGGTGTCTTTTATTTTTGGAGATGGGGTCTCACTAAATTGCCAGGAGGGACTTGAACCCATAATCTTCCTGCCTTAGCCACCAAAGTGCTGGGATTACAGGCATGTGCCATCAGGCCCAGGTTTTTTTCTAGTAAAATGGTTTTAGTCGTTACTGCTCATCTGGTTTTTTCCTCTTTTCTTAAGTGAGAAGCCCCTTTCTTCAGTGGAATGTTACTGTGAAGTCAGAACAATGACAAGGCTAGGACCGAGGTGCCGAGGCCTCAGTGGTGCCCTGAAAGACTGTTGTGTCCTCAGACACTGTAGACGCCAAGCCTGGAAGCCAAACTGGGAGTCACTTCATCTCGGATACATAAGCTGCAGCTTAGTGCAATTTTCAGACTGAAAACAGAGTCTGGGGGCATTTTATTGATGCCCTATTAGGAAACAATGCCCCCCCCTCCCCCCACGGCCCTGCACCCTAGAGTCAGGCACTGCATGGCTGACACTGGCAGGCTCCAGGGCTCAGACCCAGGTCCCTTTACCTGGAGCGGTGGATCTCACTGGCGGCGTCTTCCTCTTGGCCAGGAAGTTTCTTAGCTGTGTCTGTTTCACCGGGGACAGTTTACCTGCAAGACACTGACTCAGTTTTCCAAGCGCAAGTAGCCAGAAGAGGACAATCAGGGCTAAACGGGCAGGAAGGATCCTTTACCTGGCACTCTGGGCAAGGGCTTGGCATGAGAGTCGATGGTGGTTTTTAACAAAGCGTTGCTCAGGGTTTCCAGGTCACTGTCAAAGCTGAAAGAGGACAGTCACACACAAACTGGCCAGAAGCTAGGAAGCCGAGCTCTGTGGGGTCCATGAACCCCCTACACTTACACACAGAGGTCAGTGATCAAGCACTCAAGAGCACACCAGCTCATCAAGGGACATCATCAACCCAAGGGGACAGCGCTGGCAGCACTGTACTCTACCCCAGCGAAATAGCACTACAATGCCTCGGCAGAAAGGGCAGAGACCCTGCACAGAGACCCAGCCCAGAGCCATGCTGGTAACTCCTGGGAAAACGGCTAAGGCCTGGGAGTCCCACACCAGAGCAGAAGGCCAACGTGGGCTTTGGGGGCAGTCAGTGCACTGGGTCCCAGTCAGCACACTGGGACTGAGTTCGTTTTCAGGAAACCAACGCTATGACTCCAGCACATACTGTGACTGACTGAAAACCTGTATCTTGTTCCTTCTGTTTCCCTGACAGTCCTGGAGACTGAATCCAGGGGTGCTCTGTCACTGAGGCACCCCAGCCCTTTCTCTGTTGCTGAGATAGGTTCTCACTGCACAGCCCAATCTGGCCCTGAACTCATGATCCTTCTGCTCCAACTCCCAGCATCTTGCTTTTCTTTTTGGTTTTCTGAGACAAAACCTTGCCATGCAGCCCAGGCTGGCCTCAAACTCTCTGTGACCCAAGTGCTGGGATGACAGCGGTACACCCATGCCTGGCCGAGTACCTGTTCCTCTTGTCTTTCCCTCCTTCAGTGGTGGGGATGAACCCCAACGCCTCACCCACACCAGGCGAGCGCTCAATCACTGAGTGACATCCTGGGCCACGTGCCTGTGCCCGTCCCATGAGGCGCACCGCTTCCTTCTCCAGCGGTCCCCAAGGGCACACACATACTTCCCACTCGCAGGGCTCCGTGCTCTCTGACAGAAAGGATGCCGAGGATTGGGAGGGACACCTGCCCGGGATCAGAGCAGTCACTCTCCAGCTCACATCTGGGCCACCCTATGAACGTCCGCGTCTCTCCTTGAACACTAGTCCTGCACACCTGTGAGTGCTGCTCTGCACAGGCGCGGCCAAGGGCAGGCGCCACTGGAACGTCTGTTTATAGAGGCGCAGCTGCTGGAGACTGTCCACCAGGTGGTTGAGCCGCTTCCTCTGCTGGTTGATGATCTCCCGATTGTTGGCCAGAGTGTTGAACAGTGTCTCTCGCTCTGGCACGAGCAGGCGCCTGGGGGGAGCCATGGGAAAGAGTAAAATAAATGGTTTGAGTAAAGGGGCCTCCTTCCCCCCCACTAGGACATAACTGAGACAGTAAAAATGGCGAGATGGCGAACTACCAATGGACAGGCAATCACCGGACAAGAAAAGGGGAACAAAGGACAAAGGGGCTAAGCCACAGTAAGGGCAAAGCAGCCTAAAATGTGTGGGTCAAGCCCGCAGCAAAGGGGAGCGGACACTGGGGGAAGCCCAGTGGGAAGAGAGGTGCTGCTGGAGGTGGGAATCAGGAGGCACATTTTGTTCTGTGTAAGTTATAGGGGAGGGAGGCACACACACGTACACACACACAAACACATACACACAAGGATAAAGACAAGGACAAGAACAAAGGGCTCCCTGGGGGACTGGGGAGGGGCCATTTCTTCAGATTGTGTCAAGAGGCAGCAACCACTCTATCTGTTTTTCTTTGAATATCTTTCCTAAAGTTAATAGAAATCCTTGAGGATGTTTAGGGTTTTTTTTCTGCTACTAACTGCAGGAAAAATAATACAACGATAAACAGAAGGAGCAGTCCCCAGTCAGTTACAGACCAACAGTTCTCTCTGCTGCTGAGTACTGACAATACTCAGGGAAGCAAGATGCCAACAGAGAACAGAAACTTCCATGAATTATCTCCTCAGGAGGCTGAGAACCAGCTAAGTGACCTTGTCAGGATGGGAGAGGATGGCACAAGTTTTTACAACAGCTTTCAGCAGAGACAGCGTAATAATGAGAGAAGGGTCAAGAACAGCGGGCTGCTGCTGAAATAGGAAACTGACCATTTCAGAATGTGAATACTGCACAAAGCAATCTCAGGGAAGTGTGGTGTCCTGGTTAGTTTTCTCTCATTCCTGGAACAAAATACTTGATGCCCAAAATCAAGGAAGGAAAGTTTATTTAGCTTACAATTTGTGGAGGTTTCAGCCCATACTCAGCTGGCTCCAAGGCAGGGTGGAGGGGCAGCCATTCATGGCAGCCACAAGTAACAGGTGCAAAGAGGACAAAAGGGGAAAAGGCAGGACTCCTTCTCTCCCTTATATTGTATGCTGGCTCCGCCCCCAGGGTGGGTGCAGGCTCACACAACCAATCACAGAGCTAGACAACAAATCAATCAGAAATGCCAGACTCAGCTGCCCCCATGCCGGCAAGGGGGTTTGGGGGGGCACTTAAACAAGCTATAACACATGGTGAGCAGGGCTACAATAGGAGAACGAAGCCTGGCTTATTGGTTAGGCTTGTGCACTTTGTAAAAAACCAACTTCTTAATGAGCAAAGACAAACATGACAGCAGCAGAGTCCACACTGCTAGGCCAGGCTACACTTAGGATGGGTGGCAACTCTGAAGTGAGTAGGGCACAGCCCGGGAGGGTGCTCTGCTGGTGCTAACAGAGCGCAGGACTGGGCCCCAGGAACCTGGCCTGGACAGTGGGCCAAGTTTGTGGCCCACGTTCACACCTCTGCTCTGAGCCCCTCCACCTTCTTCACCTTCCACTTCCTACCCTGACTTTGAGCCTGCCCCAAGCCCATCCCCAAGAAGCTCCATGGCCTTGGCTTCAGTAATGGGCAGGTGGACAGGGCCTGCTTGGTTTCTAACCAGGGTGCATCGAGCACAGGTGTTGAGAAAGCGAGCATCTTCAGGGCTGATGCTTTTCTGCCTTCAGCTCAGCTCCTTCTTTTCCTTCTGGAAAACACAAGCCTAAAACCGACCGTCCAGGGCTGGGAGGCGAGGCTTCTCGGTGGCCTACTTCCTCCCCAGCACTCCTTAACGTATGTCATTATCTACACGGACACTTTAACACAACTCAGAGCACACAGAAAAGGCACAGGAAAAATGTCCCCTGGCCCACACCACACACACCTTCGGAGAGACGGCAGATCTCCTTCCAGTCTCCATCCACACGTGCGCCTCCCTGAGACCACGCAAAACGCCCTTCTACTGTACCATCCCCATCACACGTTTTGTCTATTGAACCTAATAAACAGTGACGTAAAATACGTCTCAGGTGATGTACAACGTGTTCTGTGTAATTTCTTTGAGAACATGTGACTCATGGTTTCTATGATATTCTATAGTAAGAAAATATGACCATATTCAATCAGAGAATCCTCTGATTTTAAATAATTAGGCTGAATCCAAGTTTTCACTATTACAAACTATACTGTACTACAAATTCTACCATGTAGATGATTGTGAACATCATACGTTATTTTGCTAACAAAAGGCCCCCCACCACCCCTAAAGCTGCAAGTGCTCAGAGGTGGGGCTGTGGGGCGGGGTCTGGGTCATGGGGTGAGATGCGCACCAGGAGATTGGCCACTGAGGAGTTTACAGCCAAATGCGACGCTGAGGTGAAGCATGGCTAGAAGAGGAGGGGCCCTGCCCAGAAGGCTCTCTGTCTTTCTGCTTCTGCCACATGCTGCTCCCCTGCCATCCTCTCTGCTGTGCCTCCCTGCCTTGGAGCTGGCTGACCATGGACTGACACCTCTACAAACACTGAGCCACATAAACCTTTCCTTCTCATGGCTGTGCGCTTCAGGTGCTGTGTCTCAGTGACGAGAGAGAGCAGCCAAGAGTCCCTGTGTCGGGTTTCTAAAAAGCAGCAGCCATGTCTGCGGACAGCAGTAGAGGAGCGACCTCACTCACTTTTGTTTCTTCTTTTGCTCCAGATGCCGGTCCCACTCCAAGTCCAGGACATCATTCACATCCTGGACAGCGAATTTCACGTATTGATGGAGGCGCCGAATTTCCTGCCAGAAGAAAATTTAAACCCAAATGACTCACTGTTCTGGTAGCTTGGGGGGATGATGTCTCAAAATAGTCAAAATAATTTAAGTCTGTCTATATCAGGAATCATAATGAGCAAGAAAAGGTTTAACAGAGCCATTAGACCATTATAATTAAAGTGCACAAGAGAAACCAGCTTCCTTGGCAGTGACAGAAGTGACACAGAGGAGGGGAGGAGCGTGGGAGTCTGGGCCCTGGGGCAAAGCATTCCTCCTGCTCCAGCTCCTGGCAACACCCTTGCCAGGGCTTGGGATTTTCCGCTGCACTTGAGTATGCAGACAGGACATGCTTGGTGCTCTCCCACCCTGAAATGAGCTGTCACACAGATGAAATGCCCCCAGGACAGCGCTCATGGCAGTTCTGAGCCTGTCTATTCTCGGCATCAAACACACGAGTCGTCCCGCCAAGCTGAGAAACACTCACTTTTCTAAAAAACAATAAGCAGTACCAGCATCAGACAGATTAATTTATCTTTATGAAAATTCTCACCTATTTAGCCTACTTTAAGCCTAGAATAACTTGGGCTACTAGGAACTCGCAGAGCTAGGTCACCTGACTCTCTAGAGCTAACTGTCAAGATGAAGGATTAAGTTTACCAAAGGAGACCACAGGCCAGAGCCTGGGAAAAGCCATTTACACGTGGGCAAAGATTTAATTGTGCTGAAATGTAGTTCCATGTTTATTCCGGGATAAAGGCATAGGCCCTAACTGAAAACCAGAAAACACCATTTAAAAAGCGCCAAGCAGGACTAGGGATTTAGCTCAGCAGTGTAAGCACCTGCCCGGCAAGCGTGAGGTTGTGAGTTCGATTCTCAGTACAAAAAAAAAAAAAGAAAAAGAAAAATAAAGGCCGGGCCAGGGCATGGTGGCTCACACCTGCAATTCCAGCACTCGGGATGCTAAGGCAGGAGGATCACTGTAGGTTAGGGTTAGGGTTAGGGTTAGGAGCTCAAGGCCAGCCTGAACTGCATAGCCAGACCCTGCCTCAAAAAGACACACACACACACACACACAAAGCACCAAGCAGACTCAAGGAATGTGGCAGGACGCTCTAGAGCAAACGGAAATGCTGCTTGATGCTTGCTGACTACGGAAGGCTCTTTCCCTGACCCAGACGCCACTGTCCCCAGGCCGGCTGCTCCTGGGTGCCCTCCCACTTGCCACTGACCAGCAGGAACTGACTCCTCCCCGAGGCTCACCGGAGTCCCTTCCCTCTGTGGCTTAGCTGCTCCCTCCTGGGCAGTCCCGAACTACACAACCCACAGGCAATGTCTGTCTGCTTCGGGCCACTGGGACTGCGCCCTGTAGCAGAGCGGATGAGACACAGGTGGAGTCGGCTGCCCAGGCTCCAGGGCCGGGGATTCACTCAAGACACAGCTGGGCAGCTTCAGCTCCACAGCCCCTGTGCCCACTGCCACCTCCTCAACACCACGGCCGAGGACGATTGCTCCTCCATGAACGCCACGGGCCTGAGGCACAGTGCACCGGAGAGAAAGGCATTCGGGAGCAAGGGGGAGGACGCAGCAGGTCATCCGAGGAACGGCACAGGCAGTAGGTCTGGAGCGCACGCAGAGCGCTGGGAGCGCAGCAGCCCCCCACCTGGAAGGAAGGGGGTTTGTCCCTTCTGGCAGCTTGACAGGTGCGGGGGCCTGGGGGAGCAGTGGTCTGTGCACTTCCTCAGGGGTTTGAGACAAGCAGAGGTGGGGGAGATGAGCCCCAAACTACAGCAAGTGGGGTGAACTAAAAAACCAATGCCAGACTCCAGAGGGCTGAAGAAGAGTGAGGAAACGGCAGCCAGTAGGAAAGTGTCCAGCATCTGTGCCCAGCTAGGGCATGCAGGAACGAGCCCTGGGGAGCTGGGTCCACTCCTCCTCCCGTCTCACTGAGGGGCCGTGGGCAACGTGACTGCCGGCCTCGCAGGCTCCATTTGATAACTGTCGCAGAGAGCCAAAACTCCCTTACAGGGCAGCTGGCTTTGAAGCCTAGACACAAGGCATAGGAACACCCAGCAGATGAGCGGACTTTGAGCCACGGTGGCTACTTTAGCAGGACCTGTGATCTGATTTAAAAGCATCTGTGCCAACAGGAATCCCTACCATGCTGAGGGCACAGTGAGGAGGCCAGGGACGCAGCTCAGGGGCGCAGTGTCTGCCTGGCAAGCACAAGGTCATGACTCCAACCCCCAGTACCGAAAAAAGAGTTTTAATATGGAAAAGACCCTGACAGTAAAAGTGCCATTTTCCTTGCCATAGGTAAGAGGTGCAGCATGCTGCCAGCAGAAAATCAACAACCTCACCAGGGCTCGAAGCCCTTCCCAGCCAGAGGGAGACGGCAGGGGCGGAGAACCCTGAAAAGGAAGGTGCATCCCACCTGGAGCTGGGCCTCACTGCGGGGGTCCAGCGGTCTCTTATAGAGCAGATGGAGATACCCGGAGTCGTGGTTTCTGCCGTCCTGCTCTCTGGCCTCTTCCACACCAGCAAAGCCCTCCAGCAGCGTTGTCTTCAGGGTGCTGATGTCCCCGTGAAGAGACTGGAAATGAAGAGTAAGGCTGTGTAAGGACAGGCACTGCATCTGTGAGAAATGAAACCTCTGTCTGGAGCTAGGCAGGTGGGGTTTTCCAAACCTGAACAGGAGGAACCGCTTATTCACGTGTCAGAGCTTTTTCAATGTTCTTTATTCTTCAACAATTATCTTCAGAAATCATGAATTGAACATGTTCTGATGATAAGGGGGAAGCTGGAAGTGTGCTGAGAGCACAAGGACTGAGTGTCCCGAGGGCCATCCGAAAGGCCCTTTCCACTGCATCATTAAGACCAGAACCCCGGACTGGGGATTTAGCTCAGCGGCATAAGTGCCTGCCTCAAGTGTGTGGTCATGAGCTCGATCCCTGGTACTGATTAAAAAAGACCAGAACCCCGGAGGAGGGTGCGACGGGAGGCTGGCACCGCACTCACCACCTGGGAGCTTGCCAAGATGGCTCCATCCCTGTGGCCTCACCTCCCTGGCCTGCCAGGCGGGGAACTGTGCTGCACAGGCCGGGTGAGGTTCGGAGAGATGACCTGGGGACAGTGCTAAGCGCTGTGCCAAGAAGGCAGGGAACGGTGACAACAGGAACAGGACCTGGTGTCACACTGCTAACAAGTGCCAGGCACACTTTTACTGCACATGCTCTCCAGTAGCCCATGCCTTTTAACCCAGTGCAACAAAGATAACTCACTTCCAATGCCGCTAACACAGAAAACTTCCACGGGGTGCTGGGTACACCATCAGAAGGGCAGAAACGCTTACCCCAGCTTACAGATGAGAACCCGAAGCTCGGAGCTGGGTCAGTGCACCAGTCCTAGGCTCTATAAATCCTTCTATGCCTGCTGGTCCAGTTTTGGAACAGTACATAACAATGAAACCTAATAAAAATTATTCTCTTGCAACTTTTCTTCCTGTAATTTTTCTAGGTAACTTTTAAGACTTTCATGCAAAAATCCAAGAAATTACCATCTCTGGTATAACTGGGTTAAGTCCCGCAAGCAGGATATGTTCCTTGGGTTGTGCCAGGTAAGCCACACAACATGTAACACCAGTGGTGATGGCCACACGGGAGCCACAGCCCCCCACGAGGAGTGGAGAGGGAGACTCGGGCACAGCCGGCTCACGCACCTCGGTGGTCTCTTTAATCTCAAGAAGAAAGGTGTGCAAGTCAGCTGACTCTGTCCGAAGTGTCTGCATCTCCTCTGGTGTGCCCACCTGGAAGCAGGCTTTGGCAGTCCGGGCTTTCAGCTCCTCCAGCTCCTTCTGGAAGTGTGCGATCTGCAGAAGCCACAAATGGAAAGGAATCCGCCCGTATGGCATGAAGATGACAGAGACACCTCTGAGCTGACTCATAGGCAGGCCCCTGTGATGGCTGGGCACCGCCACAAGGAGCCTGGTCACAGCCGAGGCTGCATTCAGGGCTGCTTGGGTCTCTCAGGCAGAACCACCGCCAGGAAAGGCTTGGGAAGAGACTTACCTCCTCTCCGATCCCGGCCAGCACAGGGTCCGAATCTTTCCACTGAGGTCCCTGTTTTTCTGTGCCAGGAGGCTGAAGTGACTTGGGCTGAAATTGAAGGCAAAGGTTTAAGAATGCATCAGTAGGGGCTGGGGATTTAGCTCAGCGGCATAAGCGCCAAAGGCAAGGGGGTGATTCCTGTTCTTCGGCCAGTAACATAAATTTCAAAAATTACAGTAAAAGACAGTGCCATCAATGGCCCTGAGACACAGTGAGTGCCAACGTTACGGTGCGTCCTCGCCCGCCCCACTCACTGGATGTCATGCTGTGCAGCTCTGGCTCTCCCCAAAGTCAAAGTGTGTGCAAGGAAAACATTTTCAATCAATGCAGGACATCATGGTGGCCAGGACAGGGCAACTAAGAACACTCTTGAAAGAGAACTTGCAGAACTATTTCGGAAAGTGGCAAGAACAATGAGACAAACGTGTCTGAAGTAAAGAGGAGGACCGATGGCAATGTGTCTTCTACTGTAAGAAGTTTTTTAAAAATGCAATATTTTTGGCCACCATATTTTTGGTCACACCGCACCTGCCATATGATTCCAGTTTGACACAAACTGGCTGAGCTAATCTGCTGTTAGAATGCAGACGGCAGGAGCCCCGCGGCAAGAGCAGAGGCTGAGAGGACACAGGGAAGGAATGCAGAGGTCCCTGGAAGGCTGGGCACTAGTCAGCAAGGTGTGTGTGCTAAGCTGATAGCAATTCACGGGACTGCACACACACTGCATGGGCTATTTCCATGTCGATTACATAGTAACTGAATAGCTGAACAGTAACATAGAGAACATGTTTTTCTCACAAAAACATTACAAACACGCAGGTCACACTCCTTGGTATCTCCTGTCACAGTCCTAATGCTAATCTGAATTCTAAAATAGGAAAACACTTCACTGACACGATGCTCAGGTGTGACAGTAACGAGAGCAGCCGAGTATTACGCACCTGAACTGAGGCGGACTTCGTCACTGGTGGGGTGACCCTGGGCGACTTCTGCAGCGCGGAGGGCACTGGACTCGGATTGCTCTGAGCAGATCTTACTGTCAGCAAAAACACCAGTCAAACGATCGGGTGTGCTTCTGGGGTTCCCCAACTCCTTTCCCCCGATCTAAGAGAAGCATCATGCTGCCGGTGGCTCTACTTTCACCACCACATTACGACCCCAGGACCGCAAAGGAGACAGTGATGATCACTTCTGTTATAAAACTGCATGTGCGGGCTGGGGATTTAGCTCAGTGGCATAAGCACCTGCCTTGAAAGTAGGCAGTCGTGAGTTCGATCCCCGGTACCGATAAAAAGGAAAAAGACAACAACAACAAAAAAATGGTGTTAAAAACAAAAAACAAAAAACATTAGCTTCTATTTAAACCAGATCTTGAGGTGAAAAAGAAAAAAAAAAATAACTGCATGTGCCACATTGCCTGGTGGGTTTGTGAGTGAGGAAATAAGCACTGCACCCCTGAACTAAACCCAGCAGGACATGCAATGCTTCCATGAACCCTGAGACCCTGGTTACTGGGCTGTGGCGGCACATCCTCATAATTCCAGCTGCATGGAAGGCAGAGGCAGCAGGGTTACAAGGTCAAGCCTGGTCAATTTAGTAAGAGCCTGTTTCAAAATCAAAATTAATTAAAAACAAAAACACAAGCCAAAACAAAGTACAACAGATTAAGAGTGGGGCATAGTGGTACATGCTTGTAATCCCATCACTCTGGGAAGCTGAGGCAGGACAATCACAAATTCACCCAGCCTGGGCAACTTTGTGAAATCCTTTCTCAAAATAAAAATAAGAAAGTCTGGGGGGCCGGGCACAGTAGTGCATGCCTGGGGCTCAGGACGCTGAGGAAAGAGGATCCACACAAGTTCAAGGCCAGCCTTGGCTACATAGTGAGTTCAGGGGCAGCCTGGACTACACAGCGAGCCTGTCTCAAGAAACAAAAAAAGAAAACAAAAGAAAGGCCCTGGGTTCAATCCCCTGTACTGCAAAATTAAACATATATCTAAATAAGTAAAAATAAAAAGGACTAAAGTGAAGCTAGCTTGGGGCAAAGTGCTTACCTAGGATGCAGGAAACCCTGGATTTACACGCGTTTCCTTTCCCAAGAAAAAACAAAACAAAAGAGGCACAGTGCTTCTGGTGAGAGCCTGTCTATCGGCATGTAGGGTCCTCAGGACCCTCTGGAAGCTTGGGACACGTCTCCCCGGTGGTGTCCTACCTGGGGGACTTTTAAAGACACAGCAGAAACCCACACCCAGGCCTCCTTCCCCAAGACTGATTAAAATCAGGGAATGGACCCCCCCACCTGTAACCCTGACATGGGTCTTTAAGAACTAAACAGCGGTACAGAGGGTCATGGAGCAGAGGGAAAGTGGCTGGCATAGCAAAGCGTCCCCTCCAAAGCCACCAACAGGAGGGAGACTGGCAAGGCCTAGTGCTCTGGGTTACAGACACACATCTTTCGGGATCTGAGCTCAAGTCCTGAGTTGGGTGACTCCGGGAAACGCCACAGGGAGCCCTTTCTTCTAAGCAAAACAGGAAAGGAGCAAAGACCTCGGGGTTTCATGGCTCCATCTACATTAGCCACCAAAATAAAAGCAGGCCTAACTCTCAGAACCCAAACGATGGCCCCAGAATCTGCCAGGTGCCATTACCGGGGTCGGTGAAAATAACCAATTTCACAACAGAGAACTCTGGTGAACAGCTGTAGCCGTGTGAGAAAGCCTAGCGCATCTCCACCAGGACAAAGGTACGGACAAAGGTCACCAGGGAAGGTCACGGGTGTGCGGTGCCCGTGTGCGACCCTGCCCCAAGCCTTCACCTTGCATCTCACAGTGTGGAAACAGTCAGACCCAGACTGAGGGACAGACCCCAACTGCTGGCCTCACCTCTCCACAAACTCCAGTGCGATGGGACAAGTCCAAAGATCTACATGAGGCTGAGATAGAGGGACAGACACAGTGCAGTATGTGGTCTCTTAGCTGGCTCCTACTTTCCAGGAGGGAAGAAAGCCAAGAACAACACTGAGGCCAGTGTGTTGGAACACACCTGTAGTCCCAGGACTCAGGAGGCTGAGGCAGGAGGAGCCTCACGGGTTAGAGACCAGCCTTGATTACACAGTGAGTTCAAAGCCAGACTGAGATGGGCTGGGGATTTAGCTCAGTGGCATAAGCACCTGCCTTGCAAGCAGGCAGTCATGAGTTCAATCCCTGGTATCGGTAAAAAGGGAAAAGGAAAAAGCCAAAAAAAAAGCCAGACTGAGCTACACAGTAAGACTGTGACTCATAAAAGAACATTATTATAGGGAAGACTGTGGAATAGGATATTGGGATCAGGTGTTAATTTCCAGGGTCTGATCATGTACGGTGCAAAGCCTGGCTCTCAGGAGACACACAGGGAAGGGTTCGGGGTGAAGGCCTTTGTGATATCTGTAGTTCTGTTCCCAAAAAAACTGGCATGAAAGAGAGAAAGCACACAGCACGAAGGAGTGCTGAAGAACGGTGACAGCACAGTGGTCCGACACAACATCTGAAACCTCTCTGTAGTTCTGAAAGGAAAGGAGCTGGGCCCGGTACAAGTGCCCAGTTCTGTAACACACTTGGCTGGCTTGTTCAGTGACTACCACCATCAGGACCTTTCCTCAGTAGAGACTCGGACAGCATGGCTGGTAGTGCCCAGAGCTGTGACACTTGTGTCACCCACACGTGGAGCTGGTTCAAGGTCTGAGACAATGAGGTGCTTCTCCATGAGAAGGGATGGGGAGAAGTGGCGCAAGGGAGCTGCGGTGTTCTTCCAGGTGCAGAACCACGGCCCCAGTGTACCACTGCGGGGCAGGGGAATCGGCGGCAAATGACCATGTCCAGCTGTGTGAGCAGCACTGCTGTCTCCAAGTCATACCTGAGGATGTGGGAGACCCTGCTGGCTTCAAAAACGTGGAGCTGGCCGGAGCCAGGAGTGGCGTGGGGTGGCTGAGTGACCCAGGAGAAGCTGGTTTGGAGGTGGACGAGAATGGCAGCACCAAGGGAGCATTTGGGGCACTGACAACAGGAGTCGGAGTGGCCGCCACGGTGAACCTGTCAATGGCAAGGCCACTGTGTCAGAATGGCCAGTGACAGATCCCTTCCTGCTGCCCAGGCATACAGCATCACAGGATACTACCCATACTGCACTGCATGCAGGGAACATGAGTGTTTAGTTATTGCTTACAGGACGTCATTGGTCACCTGATTACTTATTTGAGACAAGGTCTTGCTATTGTAGTTCACGCTGGCCTTGAATTGCCTGTGCAGCCCAGGCTGCCCTCAAACTTGCCACTTCTCCTGCCTCAGCCTCCCTAGTGCTAGGATTACAGGCGTGCACCACCACACCTGGCATCTCATTTTTTTTTTTTTTTTTAACCAGGAATCAAATTCAGGAAATTACACTTGCCAGGCAGAGGCACTGTGCCACTGAGCTATGTTCCCAGCCCCTAGTACCTGATTACTCAGAATGAATAATTCCACTGCAGCATCAGTTAAGCACTAGCACAGAGGGTTCAGTGCTGATGACAACACGAAGAACTCACTGCCTCGTCTATCAAGTGGAGTAAAAGGGTATGGGGCCTGAGGAGGACCTGACTGGGGATGGGGCCTCCCACGGGAAGGGAACTCGAAGAGGAAAACAGGCACCATCTTTGAATGTCTCACGGGGATGGGGAGTTAGGTGCAAAGTCCTGCAAACAACCTGGGCCCACCCTGGGAGGACAGCCCTTGGAGACATAGTGGAGCACCCGTGCTCACAATGGGCAGCTGTGTGCGACAGTGTGGCCCTCGCAACAGAAGAAGAGGACAGAGGAGCAAGCAGCAGCCAGGAAGCTGCAAGGCCCAGGTGCCCTCAGCCCTCAGAATGCTTGCAGTTCAGCAGGCAACAGTACTGTGATCCTAGCGGCCTGGCAGGACCTGCACCTGCACCTGTACCTGCGGGAAACCAGAGACCACGCCGGGATTCCAGACTGTGACCAAGGGCCACAAGAAGGCCTAGGGACCACTGGGCGAGAGCCGCCTTAAGATCGATATCCGCACAAGCCAGCTGTGCTGGTTGCAGGGAGAGCAGCCCAGGCCGAGGGTGGGTAGGCCAGGCAGCCCCTTCCAGGGGCTCGAGCTGGACACTGCCTGGCTTTAAACGGGGCCAGTTCCTACCTGGGTAGGTGAAAAGGCACAGTGAGGACCTAAACATCAGTGTCTAGTCAAAAACTTAAGTTCAGGCCTCCAAGTGGGCTGGACTTCAGCACTCTGAGTGTCACTTCCGAAGCAGACACCCCATGCAGTGAGTGTCGCTGCACCAACAGGGCCCGCGGGGAGCGCCTTGCAGCCACTTACTTCTCACTCAGGTTCACCTTGACCGTGGGTGGGAAGGCAGGCTTCGGTCCTGCGCTTGGCACAGCCACACCGGACAGCGGGGTGCTCTCCAGCGTGGGCTTGAAACCCGAGGAGCTGAAGGAGAAGGAAGAGGCAGGGGGGGCCAGGGGCGAAGCTGCGGACGTGGTGGCCTGGGAGCCCTTGGAGGGAGTTGCCATGGAGAAGACGGGGGTAGCGGAGCCTAGGGCTGCTCTGGGGCTGTCAGAGCCACTGGGGTATGGAGGGGGCTCCCCAGGGGCCGGCGCAGAGGACTTCGAGGATGAGGAGCCAAAGGCAAACACGGCTGGGGTCCCCCCGGCAGAAGGCAGACTGAAGGTGACGGCAGGGACGGCAGGGACGGCAGGCGGCACTGATGGGAGGGAGGTAGGAGCTACTGCCCCCAAGGCGTCCAGCTTCGGTAGAGACTGAGAAGAAGTCGGGGTGGTGGGAGTACTTCCTGCGAAGAAAACCAAGGAGAGAAAGGAAAAAGACACTGACCCTGCGTACAAGGGCACAGCACAAAAAGCAAGCGAGGAGGGTCTGTGAGGGCCAGGCACAGTGGCACACGGCTGTGATCCCAGCACAGGGGAGGCTGAGGTAGGAGGAGGGGGCTGCAAGTTCAAGCCCAGCCTAGGCCTGGTGAGTACGAGGCCCGCCTAGAACACATGGTGACTCTGTCTCACACACAACACACGGGTGTGAGGCAGAAGGGAGCTGGAGTGGCACTGGGTTAACAAGCCCAACAGCCGGTCAGAGCCGGTGCTGGAAATTCCACAGGAAGCTAAAGCAATGAGGTCTGCGGGGCGGGAGCATGAAAACACCACCTTCGAAACCGGAGGCCAGCGGTCATTTCCACCCACGCACGGTAACACAAGCAATTCTGTCCTGCTCACAACCCTCTCCTATGCTGCAGACAGACAGGACAGTCCAGGGCACAGGGCCTTCACATTGAGCTGTACCACCAGCCCTTTCTATCTTTATTTTTTGGGAACAGTCTCATTATGCAGCCCACAGTGGCCTCAAAACACACAGTGATCCTTGTGCCTCAGCCTCCTGAGTGCTGGGATTACGGGCATGTGCCACCACTCCTGGTCTTTTTCATTCTTCTTGAAACAAGTTCTTGCAAATTATTCATGCTGGGCCCAAACTTGTGACCCTCCTGCCTTGGCTGCTCAGAATGTTGAGATGACAGGTGTGTGCCGCTGTACCCAGCTAATGCTAACTTCTAAACAAATATAGAGACGTAAGCCATTTCTATGCATTTCAGATAGGGCAACGGGAAGAATACATGCAGGAGGCTAAAAAGTGTACCACTGGTACTTCTGCGACTGAAGACAACTGAACATCTGAAATTCGTCAATTACTACGGCTTACTCAGCATAGGAGCTTGGAAATGGACAGAAGCATTAATGTGACCCGCAGGAGTGAGGACCGCATCCTCCCTGCTTCTTCAGGTGTGCCTGTCTGCACACAGCCTGCAGTCCAGGCCAGGCCGGGCCGGGGAGGCTCATGGCAGAGCAGCCCTGGCTGTGCTCACCACGCCCTGCTTCTTACAAGAGACCAGGCCGGGGCTGAGAGGGAGTTCAGGGTACTCAGGGCCACTTACAGGAAGGACGGATGTTCCCAAAGGGAACACTCTTCAGACAATGGGATGCCCAGCCACCTGCTGGGCTATTCCGGTCCCACGGCAGTGGGCAGCTCATCCCTCATCTGGGAGCGGCCCAGAAACACACCCAACCTCAGCCCGGGTCAGGCTACACTGTGGGCTCTCACGGCCACACGGGCAAGAAAACTCTTACTGCTCACACAATTTAAAAACAGAAATTGTTGAAATTCCAATACTGAAAAAAATCCTTTAACAAGTCTGGTCTTTCCTCTCATGAGTGACAAAAGTGTCACCCAGCAAACTTGGGGTCACACTGTGGCCCCAGCCCTGCACAAAGGCCAGTGGGTTACTCTGACCATAAAGAGTGCCCAGCAGTTCTGCATGTGGCTTTTCTCATTTCTCTTCACTAACAGTCATTTAACAAATATTTTCCGAAGTGAAAAAAGCAAATGAAAGAACATCACTTACTGTTTCCCATCCATTTCTCCAGGATTTCTATGTACATATTTCTCTCCCATAAAAAAGGACCACACAGGCCAGCCTGTGCTTGGGCAGACAGACTGGCCAGCTGGGGGACCCAGTCACCACCCGAGTCCCCACAGTGGCCCTGGAGACTGTCCCGTGTTAGCCCAGGGAGCTGTGCACCTGAAGACTTGGGTTGCCGCTCCCCCTCCAGTGAAAGCCGCTCCGGGGTCCTGATGACGGGCCTGGCCCCAGGGTTCTGGTTGATCATGTAAAACGGACACAGGACGCCATCCGTAGAAAGGAGCAGGAGAACTGGAGCAGGAGGGAGGGTCTTCTCCTCATCTGTGAGAAAAGAAACCTCAGGTGAGTACAGAGACACGCAAGCTGAGGGCCTGGGCTCAGCAGGGAAGGCCTTTCCTGGGTCGCAGTGCCAGGACCTCTGGGTGGCTTAAGGGCTGTGCGTGTGGGTGACCTCTCAGAGGCCCATCCCGCACTGGCTACTCTGCAGGAGCTTGGGTCAGCTGCCAACAGGTGCCCACTGTCCTGCCATTTGGGTGAGCACCCCGCCTCTGCCTAGGAAGGACGGGCTCTGGGAAGCACTGGACATGGAAAGGAGACCGGCTGAGCTCTGGGAAATGCACGGCAGGACGTGGCCAGGTGAGCCAGGCTACACTGCCCGCTTGAGGCCCAGTCCTAAGAAGGGATTCTTGCGGGACATAAGACGATGAGACCAAACGTGCCTGCCCGGCCACGGTGAGCACAAGGACCCATGGCTATCCTCTCGCACAGGTGCGCCCACAGTCAGCGCTCTCCCACTGCACTTGTGTAGTTCGCTGACGGCAGCACTGCCCGGCTCCGAGCAGGGGCAAGGCCCACAGTGCAGTGCAAGCCACGGGAGGGCGACAGAGGAGGGCGACACTCCCTGGGGCCTGGAAGGGGTGAAGAAGCCATGCGCTGAAGCCCTAATGTTCTATCCTAAGCAGGCTCCCAGCTGCAGGCAGCGGGCGCCCTGGCTAGGTGTAGTGCGACGCTGCCCTGCACTGCTCTCAGGCAGGGCAATGTGCCTGAGGAGCAGGTGACCCATCTTCAACCAGCTTTCCAACACCAACCACAGCTCAGAGGACTGGCGACACTCACTGAGGGCCACCTCCACCTGGTTGGTGTAGTCAATGGCCACCCCCATGGGCAGGGAGTCATCACTCTTGTCAGTCACGGGTAGCTCAGCTCTACTGGAGTCCTCCAGCAGCCAGGATTCCCAGTTAACCTGCAAAACAAAAGGGGACCAGAGCAAACAGTGCATGCTGGTCACCTGAACACGGAGGGGGGGCCACAGTGACTGCCACCCCAAGTCACACACCACATGCTAGCCCATCCAGACAGGGGACCCCAGGGCTGTGTCCCCATCCCAACTGCTCAGCCCTGCCCTGTGCCCTGTGAGAGGCCCATGTCTGTGCAGTGTCTGCCCCGTGCTCAAGTCAGCTGCGCTGGGCGCTTTCCCTTGCAATGAATGAGCCTGGAGTGTGCAAGTCACTAAGTGCTACTGTCTTTCTGCATTGAGCAGAACTGAGCAATCTGGATTGTGGGAAACAGTGCAATGAAAAAAAAAGCAAGAATAACCGGGGGCAGGCAGCAGGGCACCCACATCACCCGGCTTAGCATGGAGCAAGAGAGACAGAGTCACACCGGCACAAGCCAAGCGGCTTTCAGCTTTGACAGCGGAATGCAGAGGACCCCAGCCGATGGCCAAGGGAAGGGGCAGCTGCCGCCTGGCATTACAGACAGCAAAAGGACGGCAGAAAGGGGCCACAGGAAGTGTGCCATGTGAGCCCTCCACTGCAGGGCACGAACAGAAAATCTCTTAGCTTTACAAAGTTAGGAAGAGGTGAAACAAAATAATGCTGTAACTGCTGATGAAGAGGGGACTGGGGCTGATCAGCACCAGCCCTCACCTGCCAGTCGATGGGTCTAAACCAATCACCACTAACCATCAAAGTGCTCTTTTGTCTTGTTCTGCATTTGCTCTGCAGTACTGGGGACTGAGCCCAGGACTACAGCCTTGCCCTACTTTCTTTTTTTTTTTTTTGTCTTTTTCGTTTTTATTGGTACCAGGGATTGAACTCACGACTGCCTGCTTGCAAGGCAGGCATTTTGCCGCTGAGCTAAATCCCCCCTCCCTTCTATTTACTTATTTTTAAAGCTTTTTTTTTTTGGTACCAGGGATCAAGCTCACAACCTCAAGTTTGCAAGGTGGGCCACTTACGCTGCTGAGCCAAATCCCTGGCTCTTATTTTTAAATTTATGTGTGTCTTTTTGAGACAAGGTCTCACTATGTAGTTTAGGCTGGCCTTGAGCTTACTTTGGCTTTCAGCTTCCAGCCAGGGTGGTCTCAAACTTGCAAAAATCCTCCTGCCTCAGCCTCTCAAGTCTTGGGCTTGCAGGCATGGGCCACTAGGCCTGACTTGTTTTTTATTTTTGAGATACAACCTAAGTTGTTAAATTGTTCAGGCTGAGTTCAAGCTTGTGATCTTCTGCCTCAGCCTCCCAGAGGGCTGAGATCATGAGGGTGCACTGAGGAGATTATTCTTCAGGGATGAACTGGAAGCCAACGTAAGAAAACATCTACAAAGTTGTCCCCTGCATGGACGGGGGCGGGATGGGAGGGTGGATGAATCTGTTCTTTTAAATGTCTTTCTCTACTATTTGATTTTTTGATGCATGCACAGACATTATTTCAACAAGGTAAAAACAAAAGCTCACTTTAACGTGTGAATATGTGAACTGCTTGTGCTAATGAGAATTGTTGGTGAAGCTGACCTAAGACAGCTGTAGGGAGTAAATCCAGCTGGCCACGGACTGCAGAGAACCCCCCTCAACAGCCCATGCAGCTACCCAGATCGAGCTGGGTAAATGCTGGGTGGCCAAGTGACACAGGGCCTGCGTTTGGGGAGGAAAAAGACTTGGCTCTTACACTCAGAAGAAGGGCGCACGAAACTCTGAAAGTCAATGCAGAGTTTAAAAGAACACTTTTCCCTTACACAGTCCCTCTGTATTGGGCACGCCTGCCCCTCCTGGCCTACCCTGTCCCGCAGATGCTGGCGAGAGAAGGCACTTGGGCCAGGCAATTTTCTCTCTCGTGGGTTTTCAAAGTCAGACAGGAAATGTAGGCGGCCGTTCACTTATCATGGTTCAGCCCACCTGTAGTGGAGGGCACGCATGGCACAGGGAACCTGGGTCTCTCTCCTGCTGGCAAAGGCTGCCTGACAGACATGGCCACCATGCTGGGCAGCGACAGCCGGCCCGAGGGCACAGGGTGAGTGACAGTCCTCCACACACACACACACTGTGCTGTCACCCGCGCCACCTGGCAGGGTGCATGTGCTAAATCAGGGTCGGCTCAGGGCACTTGCAGCTGCTGTAAGTGCCCTGGGTTGTGTCCCCATCCCAAGTGGGGAGCGCCTGCATTTCTAACCACCCTCTGTGTCCTGAGCTGCATGGTGCCCTTCTGTAACCAAGGCGGGCTACCACTCGATGTGTAGAAGGAGCAAGTGAATGAAAAGGAAAAACAACACAGCTGGTTCAACACAGGGCCAGGGATACAACGCCACGGATTAGCACCTGCCTGGCAAGGGCAAGGTCTGTGTTCAGTTTCTGGCACCCCTCCCCCCCAAAAAATAGACAGCATAACAGACACCCCGGGAACAGCCTCAGGCCTGTGAGCACTGGTTCTGGTTCCGCAGACTGTGCGGGTCTCAAGAGAACACAGGCACCTTTGTTTGTTTGTTTGAGACAGAACCCTGCTATGTAGTGCAGGCTGGGCTTCAGCTCCCCCTGCAGCTGCCCTTTATCTCACAGAGACCCTCCTGCCTCGGCCTGGTTCATGGGCATTATTTTAAGGACCTGAACTACACACGACTCCACATCTCCCAGTGCAGCTGTCTGGTGTGGGGCGTTTTGTCATTGAGACTTTCCTCTCGCCCAGAAGCACGGTAGGAGGGATCACGGCTGGACCCCATCTTGATCTTTTTCACCACGGGGTTAATTCCTTTCACTCACTTTCTTGAAAATACACTGCTTCACAGCCTAAAAGTGACGAGGAAAATTGTACCTGGTCGCTCTGACGAGCAAGGATGCTGACTTCCGTTGAAGCTGCAGATGCCGCCAGCACTAGATCCCTAAAGAATAAGAGCAGAGGACCAGAGTGGAACACATAGACAGCTCTGACCCAGGGTGGCAGCTGGGACTTCCTCCGGGTGGCCAGGAGGAGAGAGGTCGCCCACCCAGCCCACAGAGGGCAGGGGTCTACAGTCTACCAGAGCTCGTCAGTTCAGGGATGAAGCCCGGGGAAGGCCCTGCCAGCTCAGTGAAGAAGGTTGCCCTTGGGGAGAACCAGTCCCCACCCCAAAGCCCAGAAGCCTCTCCAGGAATGTGTGCTTCAGGCAACCCAGCTCCCAAAGGGAAACTGGCCGGACACTCACAGGCTGGGGCTCAGCCCGAGTGCTGGGGTTGCAGGTGTGCGCTCCCATACCAAGATTAAACCCAGTACTTTCATGAGTCACCACTGGGCTTACTGAGGAAACTGGACCTTTTAGATTTCAAGACTGGGGAAACAGAAAAGGCTGCTGAGTGTGGCCAGGCGGACAGGGGGACCCAACAGTGACTCAGGAAAGCGCTGCTCACCACTCCTCGATGTAGTTAAGGTAGTAATGGTGCTGCCTCTCTGCACAGCTGCCGTAGCAGGGCTCCATGAAATTCACGAAGACCTCCGGGTGCTTCTCTTCCTTTTTCTACAAGCAGCAGAGAGAGAAAAACATCTCGTGTGCATTTTCCTTGCATCCCACAGTTAACCTTAAAAATCAGTTCTTTCAATTATGGAGACTGTTCACTCAAGATCCATCCAAATACACTGAGGAGATGGACAGGTGGATTGAGGAGCGCAGGGCACAGAAAGGCTGGCCAACGCCGGTGTCCTCAGACCCTGTCCTGTCACTCTGGGCTACAAGATCCAGACCGTTTTAAAGACAACAATAAATGAATAAATAAACAAGATTTAATTTCTTATCCAGCTAACCAAGATTCAGTCAGCACAGCTGAGGAACAGCAAGTTTCATCATACTCTTCCACCTCATGGCTAAAGCTGGGTGCCTCTCTAGTGGATGCCCTCATTTTGGTCCCCAGACCCCTGATACAGCACTGAAACCAGCCCCCAGCAAACCAGCCCCCCATCCCCACACTCGTACCGGAAGCAGTGCCATCACCACCTCCGGAGACGTCTCCAAGGTCCCATCTGCCGCAGCATAGACGATGGTGAAGACGTAGGTCCCGATCCACAGCACGTCCAGCACTGCAATCACACAGTGCACCTGCTCAGCTCCCAGCCCGGCAGAATTGCCCACTGCCGCCAGGACCCGCTAGCCAAGGTCCAGCTTTCACCCACAACACAATTCACAGACCCATAGCCACATGCATCCCAGGCGGCCGCTTCCCCTCTGTCCAGGGCAGATTGCAGAACTCTGGCAGAGCTGGGACTGCTTCGAGCCGCACACCCAGAGACTTGGGATCTCAGACAGGGTCATCACCCCACGGCCCACAGCTGCGCTGGGCAGGGGCACGGTGTAGAGGGGACACTGACATCAGTGTGCAGGGCTATCATGCTAAGAGGAGCAGCCTTACCTCTCACCGGATGATCCGCCTCGTAAAACGGAGGACAGGGAATCACCTTTTTTTCTTGTAAAGTCTGCAGAGGTTTGAAAGTGTTGGTGAGACTGGGTAGATCCCAGTGTTCCCCTGGAAGCTGCCCGTTCCACTCCCTAGTCAGAGACTGACCCAAGAGAAAAGCCTGTCTACCCCAGGGGCAGTCCTGCCTATGTATGAACTCTTTGGGAGAATGTGTGAACACTCTCTCTCCGGAATGTCACAGGCTCTGGGCCACAGAGCACACATGTGACAACAGCACCTGCTGCTTTCTTTGTGACCCGCGGTGTCGAGAGTGAGCCTGGGGAGGTGGCCTCCCTTTCACAGGGACCCTGGCATAGCCCAGAGGGTGTCTGCGTGTGGCAACGGCTTCCTCCATCACCTCCTTCCCCTTGAGCTCTGCTCAGCAGCAGGGACTGGAGATGCAAAGGGGGCAGCCACTGTGTGGGTGGAAGCCCATTGTAGAGACACTGAGGAAAGTGTGCAAGGGCCCTGCTAGAGAGCATGGCGGGGCGCCTCTGGGAGGAGGATGAGAGGAGGGAGGAAGACGTCTCTCCTCTTCATGTGCTGGGAGATTGGTTACAATGAGCAAAGTTATCATTATACTACCCTATACTATATTTATATATATATAAAATATATGTATATATAACATATACGTTTATATATATTTTGGGGGGCAGTAGGAGGACCTGAACTCAGATAAACTACTGTTTTGTTCTGGTTTGGTTCCTTTTGAGATGAAGTCTTGCTATGTAGCCCAGGCTGGCACCAGCCCCACAGCAACCCTCCTGCCTCAGCCTCCTAAGTGCTGCAATTCCAGGTGTGCGCACCTCAGATAAACCACTTCTTAATGAAGACAGCAACCAGGTCAGTAGGGGACTTCAGGAACAGAAGTGCTGAAGGTGAAGGCGAGAACTTACCGGAAGGTACTGGACCACGGTTCCGTCCTGCTTGCCCACCGCCAGCTGCTTTCCCTTGGGGCTCCAGCACACTGGGCAGGAAGAGAGTGCCCCAGTTAGTCTCGGGTGCCGGTGGTCAGTGCCAAGAGGAGCACGCGAGAGCCGTGCAGTCACCGCGGCTGTTTCTCTGTTAGTCCACAGAGGACCGTGGGGTCACCGTGCCCAACAGGCTAAAACCAGTGTGAGCACTTTAACCAGGCCGGGCAGTCAGGACCTCCTGGAGCCACTGAACCCAGCTCTGCGTGCTGCTCAGCACTGCGCTGCCCAGCACCATGCTGTGCATGGAGCACAGAACACCAGTCTTCAAGTGAGAAAAGCCCAACACGGAAAACTTTCAAATACCAAGAAACCACTCTCCTGCCCCCATCTATTACTGCTACTGCTTTCCCACGAAGGTATGAAAGATTTTAGGACAACTTTTAGGTCCAAAAGCAATTATTCTCAGACACACAGTTCTAAACCAGCTGACCAAAGTATTTATTTCCCCATACCACAAGGGCATTCAAATTAATTCATGTATGCTGTTTGACTTCAAGGACATTAACTGTAGAAATAAAGAATACTCTCCATTTCCAATCTAAACACACACACACACACACACACACACACACACACACAAACCATCCACTTTAACTTGCAGGGATTAATTTTTAAATAGGTCACCATTACTGTACGTTATGGAGCGAGAGCCTTTATTACCCACCGGATGTTACTGCCACCGAGGGAGGAAGCGTGGCACACACTTTCACTGCATCTGTGACTTGCAGGACAGCAATACTGCCATCAGCCAGACAAACTGCCACCATGGAAGGGACAGTGGGGTTCCACTTCATATCGATCACCATGCCTCCTACATCCTTCGAAAGCTTGTGATAGGCAAACGGCCGCTTCTGCTGCTTAGCCTTTGGAAATAAATACATAAAAGCAAGATAATTAATAAATGCACAGACATTTAGTATCCAGAAGAAATCAGCAAAGACACAAGTCCTCTTAAATCATAGTCCATCCTTCCATTAACATGAAACAGAGATTTGGCTCCCACAGCAATCTATTTGTTACAGCCGTTTCAAAAGAACTAGGAAAACGGCACTTCAGGGATTGTGCTTTCTGATCTTTATTATTTTCTTCTATTTGTTTTTGGTTTTATTCTGTCTTTTATTTCTAACTTCTTAAGGAAAGATATGAGGACATTTCATAACTTTCTTCTTTTCTAATAAACACACTTGGTGTTCAAAAAAAAAGAAATGTCCCTATTCTAGCTGCTCAGAGGACTCCTGGCAGGGCGAGGTATAAATACAAGATAATCACACTGCGGTGGCACAACGTGAAACTCTTGCTCCTGCTTCTTAACAGGGCTGGGCCCTCGGGCAAACCTTAAGCCTGAAGGCTGTCTTTCCAAATGGAAGCTGCAGAAACCTGCATCTGCTACGTGAGGCTTCGGAAGGCAGGAGCAAGGACATGATACAAACACCCGCGAAAGAATTGACAACTCGCATTCAAAAACCACTGACCAGAAGGGAACACTGCACTCGGAGGCCAGAGGAAAACCTGGGGCCTGGGAGGGCACCTAGGCATCCCTGCTGGTTGTCCTATTTACACGGGCTGAGGGCAGTTAGGAACTCTTCCTTGGGGGCTGGGGATTTAGCTTAGCGGCATAAACGCCTGCCTTGCAAGCAGGCAGTCGTGAGTTCGATCCCCGGTACCGATAAAAAGGAAAAAGACAAAAAAAAAAAAAAAAATAGGAACTCTTCCTTGAAGTGCTCACTCTCAAAGATGTGCGGTATGGGTCTATAGTTCAGGACTCTTTTCCAGCCCACATTTTACTCTAGAGAAAGCCTCTAGGTGCAAAGCGAAGAAGCGTTCGGGCAGCAACTCCACACCAGCGCTTACCTCGTTGGCCAGCGTGCGCACGTCGAGGAAGGCAATGACGGAGCCGTGTTCCCCAGATAGCATGCACACGGACAGCGTGAGGTTGTCACAGCTCAGTGCCAGGTGATGCACTGGGAATTTCATGGGAACAAGCCAGCTTTGGACCTTATCAACTAGGGAAACGTGGGAGGAAAAAGTCAAAGCAGGAAAAATGGTGTGCCCTGCGCACCAAGCCAAACGCCTTTACCCAACAATGCGAATCGAGTTTCAAGTCTATACAAACACACGCACCCTGGAACCAGCGATGCTAGGAAATCTTAACTGCTGCAGGCAGATACCCAGGGGAGCATTACAGATAGGGACGGACCTCAGGGACTGCTCCCCACCCACCAGGCAAACACCTGCGGCTGCTGGCCTTGCCGAAAACACTTTCACTCTACCACTCCACACGGTACAGAGCTGTTTGGACGGCGCTGCTTAGCCAACGAAAAGGCCATGGGACAAAACTTTAAACAGCACAGCCCAGGCGCAACTGAGCAAAAACAGTTCTTTCCTCTCTGTTCAGAGGAACAACTCTTTAGAGAAGTAAAATGGACCGAAGAGAAAGCCTAGAAGGGCTTCCAGTGTGCAGCCCGGAAACCCCATCACCTGGGGCCCATCCTGGCCCCAAACAGTCCCAGGTTCAGCTTCAGCATCAGCGTGGTTGCCTGTGGCGGACGCATCTGCATAACCCCTCTCAGCTCTGCAACACATAGCGAGGCACTCACCTACTTTATTGGGGTCCTCTCCAGGTCTGTTCTGAATAAGCAGGTTTTTAGTGGGGAAAACCTGCAGCCCACTGGCTCCTCCAGCAAAGAGCAGCCCGTACTTGTTGGATATGGCGAGCAGGTTAGAGCGCTCTTTGGGCAGCTCCTCAGGGGAGTCGAAGATTCTCACTTTCTTCAGGGCTCTAAACTGAAAGTCCTGTTTCGCAAGATCAATTAGAAGAAAGCAGAAGATTAAATCGTGTCTGTTGCTGTACTCGGGGGACTGAATTCCAAGATAGTAAATGTGTTACCTTGAAACAACCACTATCGCAGCAGTCTGCGAGTCTGTATTTATGTGATGCCTGCCACAGCAGTCCTTAATAGTTATTCAATGAAATAAATGGGGAAGAAAACTCTACGAAGGCCATCTTGCCTAATGTAGCCCACGCTCTTCTTTTCCTTTTCTGAATTTCTAGTTGCATGGTCTGAACCACCACACAGCTACATTATTATTTATAATCTCTCCTATCTCACGAACCAGAGTAATACTTAATAAATTACAGTTAAAGGCTGGGTGTGGTGGCTCATGCCTGTAATCCCAGCACTCGGGAGGCTGAGGCAGGAGGATTGTTCTGAGTTTGAGACCAGCCTGGGCTACAAAGTGAGCCCAAGGCCAGCATGGATTGCATAGCAAGACCCTGTCTCAAAAACCAAACAAACCAAAAATATTTCAAAAAAAAAAAAATTAAGAGTCAAAAGTGACAGTATCCAGGCGTGGTGGTACACACCTGTAATCCCAACACTTGGGAGACTGACGCAGGAGGATCACTGCAAATGTGAGTCCAGTCTGGCTATAAAGTGAGTTCAAGGCCAGCCCGAACTGGAACTGTATAGTTAAAGTCAAACACACACACACACACACACACACACACACACACACACACACGAAAAAAATTAAATAAATAAATACTGAAAGCTCCATCCGCCTGCACTGCAAATTTCAACTTCCAGTGCAGTACTCACAAATACATATTGAAATGACCAGAGAAAAGATAATCAATGGGCTGGAGATTTAGCTCAGCGACATAAACACCTGCCTTGCAAGCAGGCGGTTGTGAGTTCGATCCCCGGTACTAATAAGAAAAAATAAAAGAGAGAGAGAGAGAGAGAGAAAAAAAAAAGATAATCAAATACTAAGAGCTGGCTTTCTTTTATCAGCTGCTCAAAATTCTGTCTCAGAAAACAACACAGTTAATCTTGAGCACTCGGCCTACTGAACGGAGACTAGCTGCTAAGAGGGTCCCTGAAATACGAATCTGATGGGCATAGTGATCCCCATCCATAATCCCAGCACTCCAGAAGCTGAGGGAGGACTGAGTTTGAGGAAAGCCTGAGCTACAGATCGAGGCCCTGTCTCAAACAAATAATCCAGGGGTACCTCACCTCCAAGCAGATGGAGTTATGAAATCATTTCCTAAAGTCAAACTGAAAGGTTGGGCCCAAAGTTGACTTTATAGAGAAATTCGATTTGGTTCATGACCAATTCGATCTGTGACCAGAATCATGGAAAAAGTTAAACTCCGACTGTAAATACAAACCCGAGTCCAGGCCCTTACTACAGGCAGCGAGGCCAGGCAGGGCTTCCACACCTGCTCTGCAGCCTCTCCTTACAACATACGGTTGCTTTTCACAGCGAGCCATCATCTCTGCCACAGCCTCGGCCAGCCGTGCCTCTGTTTTCAGTTTTCATTTCCTTTATCTTCATGTTCCTGTTAGACAGGAATGGCCTGGAAGCTTCCCCTGGCCTTCCGTCACTACCCCTCCCCCAGGCTTCCACAGACATATCTGTATGTTTTCAAAGACTCTTTCCAATGCACATCATCATCTGCCAAGAAAGTTCCCTAAGTCTACCCTTTACTTTATCAAACGGTACTACATATGGTTTGATCTTTCTTCTCCTTCAATTCTAAACCCATCTTTAGGTCAAGGTTTAGGATTTGTGCTGCCATTCCAAAAGTGTAAAGAAGAGAAGCACAGCTTTTCTGGCTTTCAGATTTGTACACTAGAGTTGTGTGGGTTTACATGGGATCCCTAACACATCTCACACAATAACTTCCTTGCATCTTATGTTGCATACATATCTGCTGAAAGGTCAGCTGAAATACTCTTACTTCCAATGCACTGCAGTGGGCACAGACTCATACAGCTGGCCGAAATGGTTGTACATGCCTGTAACGCCAGCTAAGACTAAGGCAGCAAGATCACAAGTTTGAGAGGCCAGCCTGGCAGAGTCTGTCTCCAAAACAACAACTAAAATTAAGCTGAACGAAAAAGAGCAGGGATGTAGCTCAGCACGCCTGAGTACAATCCCAAGGAAGGAACAAATGAACAGACAAAACCAACACAGGACCTCCCACAGCTTTCCAGGTAAGATCACACTACGATTTTGCACAGAAGCAGAGTAAAAACTTTATAGTCATTTTTTTTTTCTTGATACAGGGAATTAAACTCAGGGCTTTCAAACTGAACTACATTCCCAGTCCTTCATTTATTTTGAGACAGGGTCTTACTAAATAGATCAGGTTGAGTTCAAACTTCCAACCCTCCTGCCTCAGCCTTCCAGAGTACTGGGATCACAGACATGCACCACCACGCTTGGCTTCGTTTTTTTATAATCCTTATCATGGTAACCTCAACTCTGCCCCATTTGGTCTCAGTCCCATGAACACCATGATAGATACTTTTTTTTTTTTTTTTTATACTGGCAATCGAACTCACGACCTCATGCTTGCGAGGCAGGCACTTAAGTCACTGAGACAAATCCCCGGCCCCTCCTTCCTATAACTCCTCACAGGGAGTGTATTATCTTCTATCTATCTATCTCTGGTTCCAAAGCCTTTCTTCCTTCTCCCCCGGGAGCTTCTGAGGAACAGAACACATGCCCATTGGGTGGCTGGAAACAGGCAGAAATACTCAAGGAAGAAAGAATCACTGTTCTAAATATGGAGTGGCTCACTATCCCGTTAACACACACTTCAGGGACCTGCTGTTCACACACATGCTTAACACCTTCCTGCAACTTACTCCCACTTAGCTTTTTGCCCAAAAAATCTCGTTCCCTGGACCTTGCGTCAAAACATACACAAGAAGCATTAAACGCGCCATCCTAGGAGTTGTCTCATGTTGCCATCAGTAATCTTTCCTTTGGTTTCCAAACTTTACACTAATTTCCGGGACGAAGATCACGCTCCTAGTCCAATCAGCTACATGTTCTGGAAATCGAATGACCCTTTCTGGTTCTACCTCAGGGAAGTCTGGGTCACCTTACAGAAGGAGCACAATCAGGATGAGAAACAGCCTTATACCAGCGAGACTACTAGCCTTCCTGTTAAACGCGACTTAGGGTGAATCACTTTCAGGGCTTCCATTTGCTCCTAGTAACGACCACTTCCTAGGATAACGCTCGGTTATCACTCCTGCTGTGGCTACCGTACGCAGAGAGCTAGGGTAACTCAAGAGGCGAGCCCGCGACCACCGAGGGACGGGGAAACTGCATTCGGGGCCGCGTTCCCGCCAGGGGAACCGCGGAGAGCTGCGTGGGCGACAGCTCACTACGCAGTAAATGGTTCAAGCAAGAGGCGGGGCAGCCGCCACCCGCGCTCCGCGGTTCCGTGGGACTCAGGCGGGACACCAAGTCTAAGGAAGAAAGAGAGGCCCCCGCCAGTCCCTGACCTTCATCTCTCGCTCCGGAATCATGGCATCCATCTCGTCTCCCATCACGCCGTGCTTTATGGAAGCAGAGGCCGCTGCCGGCCGCGGCCTTGCCCACAAAACCCAGGCCTCTCCGAAGCCTATCTGGTCCCCTCGGCCCTAGCAGCGCGCGCGGCCAACACGTACTTCCGGCGCGCTTTGGTGACGTCAGAACTCCCCGTCGGGGGAACTAGGGAAGGGAAGCTTCAAGTCTTCCGAAATTGCGCGCTCTCTTGGCCACGGGCTCCTATTGGTCCGCCCAAGAAGGGGGCGTGCCCGAGGAGCCGGTGCGCCTGCGCTCTGTAGTACCGTGGAGCCGCCCAGCTGGGACGGGTTCTTGTTAGTTTCGTTTGTTTAGCAGCGCGTGCTTAAGTGCTCCTCGCTAGTTACCTGGAAGCCTCACTGTAATGTAACGGTTAGGTGCAGGCTATTAATGGCTTTCGACACAGAGATGTTAGGAACTTAACAAATACTTTAATCCGATAGCTTTTGGAAGAGGCTTTGGGTTTTGTAGGGAGCCGGGAACTGTAGGAAATGGGTAAAGTAGGTCTCACCCTGAGACCTATGAACAAGGACAGGCTGCAAGTGTTCAGGCTGAGACACCAATGGCCTGCTTTGTTTACTCCTCGCAAGGTAATCATTTCCAAAGCAAGAGCCGTGGCTACTTCTGGACGCAAGAGACTGTCGTTTTGCACCAAACACTAGATGTATCGCGTTTAACCTTCAAGCCTTCCTACGCGCCTAGGAGTTAACATAGGGAGCAGAGGGAAGTCAAGAAAATTCTGTAATAGGGGCTGGGGATTTAGCTCAGCAGCATAAGCGCCTGCGTTGCAGGCACGTGGTCGTGAGTTCTGACCGTCCTGCAGCAAGTTGACACAGGATTCAAATTCAGATCAGCTGGCTATATTATTGCAAGGGCCTCGGTGGAAGGCACTGCTGTGGTGGAATTACTCGCTGTAGGACAGAGGTTTTTTACTTGGAACCCATTGTGTGTGGGGGTGCGTTCTGGCACTTGCTATTATGTGTGTGTGTGGTTTTTTTTTTTTTTTTTTTTTTTTTTTTTGGTCTTTTTGAGACAGGGTCTCACTATGCAGTTTGGGCTGGCCTCGGGCTCACTTTGTAGCCCAGGCTAGTCTTAGATTTTCAACGATCCTCCTGCCTAATCCTCCGGAGTGCCGGGATTACAAGTGAGAGCCACCACACCTGGCTACTTGCTATTGGCTTTCAGCAGTTTGCTTCTCGTGTAAAGCAAGAATGAGGTAATAGAGCCTCTTTCATGAGGATGTGAGGGGCAAGTGAAGGTCAGATGTCTGGGCTGCTGTCCTAGCTAGCTCTTGTGAATTTGCTGAGCATAGAACCATGCCTGAGATAAATCAAGAAAGACACAGGGTCAGTTTGTCTGGTTTATTTCAACTTGTAGAGATGATACCCCAACCCCACGCTCACGTCCATGCGCACATGCATGCAGACACACGCGGGTGCATATAACTTCAGTCATGTGAATTTGCCTGACAAACTTTCCTTTTGAACATGGGGACAAAGCCATACGTAGCATTCCCCACATTGCTCGTTCCATTAGTTAGATTTGGTTTTTTCAGAAGAAATGGAGCCCTTAGCTAGAGAAATGAGACCGTGGGCCAGCAGCCATAACCTGAAATATCTGCAAATGCCCTTGTTGGGGGCCTGTATCAGTCTGTCTCCCCACAGCTGAGTTCCAAGAACCAGTGAAGGAATTGTTGGGGTTCTTTCTCACCCTGTACAGTGAGAGAAGGCTTTCTTTCATTTTCTCTCCTTCCCTCAATCTCAAAAATATGGAACCCACTGAAATAAGCCTGGTTGTTTCTGTGTTCCTCTCTAAGGAATAAATAGTCTCACTGAATGGGATGGGGAATCAAAAAGCTTATCTTCCTTCTGGAAGACAAGAGGCAGAGGCAAGGAGTAGGAAAAGGCAGTTGCTAATCTGTCTCTGAAAACAACAAAACAAAGAAGCCCCACAAAGGTAAGAGTGGACAGGGTAGGTAGGGTTACATATTTACAGGGAGGAATGTCTTGTTGGGGTTAAACTTCAGCTAGGCCTATGCATCCCTCAGACTGAGGACCAGCCAGTCACACCCACATGATCTTGCTCCTGAACTGGCTGAGACCAGAGAATTGATGTAGCTTGGCCGGGTGGTGGCTGTGGCCATGGTCTTACGCCCTACAGGTTTTACTTGTATAAGCTGCTTCTGGGACTGTGCCTTGGGCCCTTGACTGTGGGTCTACAGAAGTCACAGGAAACCCGCAGGGGCTCCAATGGCCCCTAGTCCGTAAGGGTTTTCATTTTTTTTAAGAGTAGGAAAATTTCAAAAAAAAAATTAAAAAAAAAAAAAAGGGGCTGGAGGTTTAGCTCAGCGGCATAAGCGCCTGCCTTGGAAGCAGGCAGTCGTGAGTTCGATCCCCGGTACCGATAAAAAAGAAAAAGACAAAAAAAAAAAAAAAAATTAAAAAAAAGAGTAGGAAAATTTGAACTGGGTATTTAGTTTAGTGGCACAAGTGCCTGCCTGGCAAGCATGAGGTTGTGAGTTTTATTCCTGATACAAAAAAACAAAAACAAAAACAAAAACAAAAAAAATAGTAGAGTAGAAAATTTCATTGTAGAATAGGAATAGCTCCTGGGAGACAGAAGGGGTCCCAAATGGTTGCCCTGTCCATAAGCATTTTTTCTTTGTACTAGGAGTCAAACTCAGGACCTTGAGCTTGCCAGGCAGGGGCGTATGCCGCTGAGCTACATCCCCAGCCCTCTCTGTAAGCTTTTGCAAAGTTCTCTCCAAGACTCTTGCCCCTGTCTAAGGCAATCATCCTTAGGCCCCCTCACTTCCTACCATTGTCCCTGTCACTGGGTCTTTGCTCCCTACTGGACAGTACGTTCCAAGAGATGCCTATTTCACTGCTGGGTTCTCAGCTCTTGGCCTGTAGCAGGAGTTTAATAAATATAGTAGGTGAATGCATGCATCCGTGTCCTGAGGGCACAGCTCAGGACTCCAGAAAACAGGTGGGATCGGGCCAGGCACTTGCCTGCAGGGTTATGGAAGCAAGTCCCCGAAGCAGGATCTAGTAGCTGTAGAAAGACAGAAGCACAGAGCAGGCCTGACCCTCATGCAGCCCTGATGCTGACTGGGAGCCCATGGCCTTCCTAAGTCCTGGCCCAGGACATCGGCCCTCTGCCTCCTTCCCAGCTTGCAACACTAAGGCACCCACGGGCCAGGGATTTAGGTCAGCAGCACAGCACCTGCCCGGCAAGCACGAGGTCATGAGTTAGATCCCTGGTACAAAAACAAAACAAAACAAAATGAAAAAAACCAAAACACTTGCAGAGGCAAAGCGCGGTCAGGCTCTTGGGTCTCCTGATTCACCCCTGACCTTGGACAGCCAGCCTCCCTGCCCCACCCCCACCCCCAGTGGGCCATCACAGTGAGAGGAGTGGAGGGGCCCAGCTCACCTACAGAGCAGAAGAGGGCTTTGCGATCCTGAGTCCCTAAAGAAGGACACAGGTGGCCCAGTCCAGTCCTGAGGCTCAAGGTTTTGAGCCACTTGGAAAGTTGAACTGGAGAGACAGTAGACATAGCCCAGGTCAGGGCAAAGTGAGAAGGCTTAAAGCTCATAATAGGTGTTCAATAAATACGCTGAATGAGCACGCAGACGCACGCATGAGCAGTGCGCACAGAGCAGGAAGGCACAGAGTAGGAGGCAACTGGAGGAAGCAGTGAGGCCTCAAGCAGTCACGAGCAGGATGACCTGTTAGAAATCCCTGGCGTATAAAGGTGCTGGCTTTTGGGCTAGCATCTTCCTCCATCTCCTGTCCTGGGGCCCTCTGCTTCCTCCCTGGGAGGTGGGACTTCCTGGCTGACCCTTCCTCCGCCCTCGCCCCACCTCCACCTCTGAAGCCCTTGGCTTCAGTAACAGGGAGGGGTGGCCAGGGAGCAGCGCCAGAAGGTTGCTTCCAGTTCCTCCTTGAAGGGCTCAGACATCACGCGTGAAGGGGGTGACCAGAGGGGATCGGGGAGACACCGAGTGGCCATATCCAGGATACCCAAGAGCGTGGGATGCAAGGGAACCCGAAAGAGGCCTTGCAGCATTTTTTTGCCCCACAGGCTCTTGGGACAGGGGCTGGGGTCACACGCACTGCATTCTGGGAAGATGGAGGTAGCACCTCTGGGTGCAGGCCGGGCTTTTCCGGCCTCCCTGCCCTGCCCTGCCCACTCTGGTTTTTGGTATATCAGCCCTTCTGCACAAGGCCAGGAAAAGGCAGGAAGAAGGCAAGGAACTGAGGTGGGGCAGGACCTAAGGCTCAGGAGTCCCCAACCCACAGCCCTTCAAGGCAGATCATTTGTGCTTTACAAAGAGATTGGTAAGAAAATACAGGAGCCCACAGGGGCCAAATGAAGGAGTACAGCAAATCCCAAGGAGTCAGGAATGGAGGATGGGGAGATGGGGGTGGGGCAGGGAGGCTGGCGGCCCAGGTCCTCAGGGCAGGCTCGAAATGTCTCTCTCTGGAGGAGGCCCCGCCGGCTTCGGGCCACTCTCGTTGGCTTTGCCTTCAAACATCATGACACTAGTTGAGAGAGAAAAGAAAAAGGAAAAACTGAATTAGGACCCCTTTCTTCCCTGACCTAGAGAGCTCTTTATGGGCTTTCTTAGCCTGTCACGAGGTCCTTTATCAAATGATACAGCATTGTTTATCACTATATTTAAAAAAATTTTTTTTTTCTGAGACAGAGTCTTGCTGTGGGACCTAGGCTGGCCTCGAACTCTCGGTGATCTGCCTCAGCCTCCCCAGCACTGCGTCTACAGGTGTGTGCCAGCTCAAAATGTTTTTTAAAAAATGATTCTTATTTTGTGCAAGCCAAGTGACTGTCCTTTTCGGCGGTGACAGACCAGCCTCTCGGGAATTCCTGCCCTTGCTCTGATCATTTGTGGGAGCTTGGCCACCACCATAGACGCTGGCCATCAGCCAGCACCAGGCTGACGGTCACCTCTCTACCCCTCAGAACAACTCTTAATGGTAGAGACAGTCTCTCACCCCGTTTACAAAGAAGAAACAGGCCCGAGGACCAAAGGTAACTCTCCCAGGGTCACTTAGGCAGCAAAGAGCAGTATTAGAGTCTGAATGCTATCTCGCTTTCTCATAGATCTTTCATCCTACTTTATGCTACTGACAGCCCACAGGGCAGCACAGTGGCTTCACAAACGAAGAAACAGGCTGGCTATGGTGGCACATGCTTGCCATCCCAGCACTCCAGAGGCTGAGGCAGAAAGATCACCAGGAGTGTGAGACCAGCCTGGGCTACATAGTGAATTCAAGACCAGCCAGGGCTATATATAGAGACCCTGTTCCAAAAAAACCAAAACCACAGACACACAAATGAGGAAACTGAGGCACAGGACGTGTGCACAGATGTATCATTGTCCCTACTGTGAACTGGAACCTACTGAACGAGGTTCTGCCAGTCGCCCCATCCCAAGCTAAATCCCCCTGTGAGGAAGGGGCAGCAGGGGCATCTGAAGATAAGGTGAGGCTCAGAGAAGTCAAGGCCACCTCCAGCAGGTCACGCCCTGTATTCCCTCCTGGCTGGTGCCCTGGCAGGGCCTCTCCCCGAAGCCTGACTTCGCTGTGGAGCCCCACGAGAGGCAGGGCCACTCACAGCTTAAGGACAGCCGACCGCTTCCCCAGCATCATGTTCACGAAGTCTCGGTAGGAGATGGTGTCGCTGACGCCGCCTGTCACCTCCGAGATCATCTTCTTCATCTCCAGGTGGGTCTTGGGCACCCCCAGCTTCTCCATCATCCTCTTCAGAGACATCAGGTCTGCAGAGGGGAGGTGGCCGCATCGGCAGGGATGAGGACATGTGGCCTGTGTCCCTCACAGAGGCCGGGTGGCCCCCACAGTCTCTGTCCCTGCCATATGGGTCACTGGTTGGGACCTGGGGAACCACTCGGACTCTCTGAACCCTCTCCTGTCAATGGAAGGATGAGTTTGCCGGGCTCCTGTAGGAAAGTAACAGCCAGCACCAGGCCTGGTGGTGCACGCCTGCATTCCAGCACTCAGGAGGCTGAGGCAGGAGGATCACTAACTTGGGCTCCAAAGTGAGTTCAAGATCAGCCTGAACTATATGGTGAGACTCTGCCTCAAAAACCCAAAAAGAAGGAAAAAAAGAAAACTTAATGTATTTGGCACAGTGTGGCAGGCAACTCATAACCCCCTGCCACTCCCATCCTGCTGTGCTAGGGCTCCACTTGGGCTGGGAGAGGGAGAAGGAGCCAAAAATATCCCTGGAGCAGGAAAAGCAACAAAAGAATAAAATTCAAGAAAAACAAGGGAGGCACTGAAAAGCCAGGGCCCCCAGGGCCCCCAGGGCCGCTGCTTCTGATCTCCCCCCTTTCGGCTTCCACCAAGAGCTGAGGCGACTTCCTTGGGATTGTTCTGGGATGAACAATGGAGCTCGGAGCTGGCTGGGCAGGGCCGATTTAGGGCGAGAGCAGTGGCAAGGCCAGCGTGTACCCAAGAGGCAGGGCGGCGAGAGGGGCCAGGCCCAGAGGTGCCAGGCCTTCTAGGACCTTTCTAAGAGCCAGCAGCTCCTGCCACAGATGGTGGAAGCAACCCACATGCCAGTCCTAAGCACTGCCCTGTAAGACCCTCTTTTTCTCAGAGGGTGTGGGTTTGAGGCAGGCTCTCCCTCTGCAGTTCAGGCTGGCGTTGAGCTCGCTACGTGAGAGCTGGCTGCAAACTTAGAGATCCTCCTGCCTCAGCCTCCTTGATAGCAGGCGTGTTCCACCATACCTTATAATAGGTTACTGCACAGCTGTGACAAACGGGAGCATAGACCTGGCTAGGGTGTGGCTCCCCATCCCTGGGCAGGGGCCTGTCATCAGGAGATAGTGAGGGCTATGTCATGGACAGTGCTGGCATAGAGGACAGGGGGTGCATGGCATGTGCTGGCATGGCCATGGGGCAGCCTCAGGGTGTTCCCTCCACCCTCCCCGCCCTCCTCCCAGTACTCACCAATCTCACCCTCGTTGTTCAGGTCGAACTCCATGTACTTCTCTGGAAATCACAAACAACTGATTCAGGGCAGAGGCAGAGGGCAGGACCAGGTCCAGGGCCCCCAGTTAACTAGAGACAGAGCTGTCCCTCCACTGACATCACCCACTATGCCCCAGGGAGACACTGCCCTGGGGCTGTCCCCTCTTGGTCCCCATCCACATGTCTGAGAAACAGATCCCAGCCCTGGAAACCTGGTCTCATACTTGGGGAAGGCAGTGGGGGGCCTTGTCCTGTGAGTTATGGTTCAAAGTTTGGTCTCTCTCAAAAAAAATTTTTTTTGGATTCTTGAACTTGTGATCCTCCTGCTTCAGCCTCCTGAGTGCTGGGGTTACAGGTGTGCACTGCCGTGCCTATTGCTTATTCTTTTTTCTCATTCTCAAGGCTTTAGAGCATTCTGGTTGGGAGCAGGGGCTTTGGAACCAGACTGACAATGGTTCCAGTCCCAACTCTTGCCGTAGGTGACCTGAGCCAACAATCCCATCTTCCCGAGCCTGCTTTCTCAGGGAATTCCAATGGCATCATCTCCCTCCTGCTGGACTGGAGACCCGGGGGGGGGGGGGCTGCAGGACCAGCTCCGCTTGCCAGCTGCCTTTAATGTCATCAGGGCGGACATCCAGCCTGCGGAGGACTAATCTGTAAGCCCCCGAAGGTTCTGTGCTTTGCAGCACACGCGTAGCTGCGACCCCTGGGCTATTCCCAGTGCGTCCCCGGGAGCCCAGGCCCCGGCCCCAGGAGTATCCCATCCCGGGGTAAGAACGCAGTGCCCGGCTCCTGTGTGCCACTGCTGCTCTCCTTTCCAGCCACTGGCGGGGAATCAAGCGCTTCTGTTTGGGCCCCAAACAGAAGGACCTTTATGCTGCCCTGCTCCCTTCCAGGGCTCCCCGGCCCGGTTTACTTTTCATCCCGTGCTGCTGGACTCAATGGGCAGAAACTCTGCCCCCCTGCCCCACTGAGGCAACACAAGCGTCCTTTCTCCACAGGGGCTCCCGAGCTGCTGGGCTGCAGAGGGGGAGAGGCAGGGATGGCTCACAAAGACTGGATTGTGTGCAGGCTCCAAGCGAGTAGGACCCGGGCAAACAGGCAGGCAGGAGCCAACCTGAGCCCCACTGGGCAGCCCTGGGGCAGGGGGGCAGGGAGTGGGGCCTGCCTGACCTCCAGGGTATCATCTGGAGTAAACAGGAAGAGAAGTGCTATGTACAAAAGGGGGTGGTGGTGGAGAAGGGGCCAGCCTCAGTGCTCCCCGATGGCCAGCAGCTGCCCGGCTCACCTTTGAAGGCCGCGAGCTTCTCTGGCAGGTTCTCCTCATCACTGTACTTCTGGTCGCAGAGGAACTCCTGCAGGGGTGATAGCTCATCGCTGGACACGGCTTGAGGACCATGCAAAACCCACCCACAGCCCTGGTCCCCTCATCAGGCAACATTTGCCCTGGGTTTGTCCTTGGCTTCCGGTTGGCCTGTGGAGGCAGAGCTGCCCAGCCCCTGCTCTGGACACCTCCAGGGACCTGTGCCTCCCCCAGAGTGCTGCCCTCCTGAGGCTCCCAGCTCCTCTGAACCCCCAAGACAAGCTGCTTAGTTCCATCACCCACCTCTGAGGTGTGTGGGCTCCAGCCAGATGGAAAAGTACAGGGAATGTGTCAACCATAAGGAATGCATCTCAGTAAGAGCCAGGCTGTCCTGAATCCCCTCAAGATCCTGGCCACGCCTGTCCCAATCTGCTTACACCCTCTGCAGCAACTCTGAAGTCCTCTTCCACGGGTGTCTTCAGTCGCGCGGTCCTGGCTGCCGCAATGTCCTGAGTCACTCAGAACATTTCCCTTCCAAAATCTTTTTGACTATAGGGAGGAGCCAGAAATCCCTCAGTGCCGGACACCGGGAATACCGTGGAGGAGGACACAGCACTGTGTCTTTATGAGCTGCCTTCCCACTGCATTTTTTTTTTTTTTTTTTTTTTGTCTTTTTCCTTTTTATCAGTACCAGGGATCGAACTCACGACTGCCTGCTTCCAAGGCAGGCGCTTATGCCGCTGAGCTAAATCCCCAGCCCCCCCCACTGCATTTTTGACCACACCTTTTAAAAGACCCTCAGGAAAGAGGAGTCCAGAGCTGCTGCAGAAAGCAGCAAAGATGATGGGATGAGTGTGTTCCAAGTGAGTCGAGAATTTTGAAAGGAACTCACGGCAGGGTGTCTTTTATTCTAAGGAATCTTTCCAATGTAAATATTCACCGTATTTGTCCCTGTTCCCCTCCTGCCTTATCCGCCAAGTGAGGATAACCACAGAGTCGCTTCCTGAGTCAGCGAGAATCCAACGCAGCGAATCTCCTGCTGCTGCCTTAACCCACTGCACCCTTAGAGTCTGCCCTGGTCACACAACGGTGGATCTGGGCGGCCACTTCCCCTCTCATCTGCTTCCTAACCTGTAAAACTGGGGTTTTCACCCCAGCCCAGTTCCCCTCCCCTGCCTGGAGTCCCTGCGGAACCAGGTGGGCGGAAGGAGGATCAGCAGTAACAACAGCCCCTGCACCCACCTGCTTTAGGCACCTGCGTTAGACCCGCATTAGCAGTCTCTCCCAGGATCCCTAGGCAGCCGCTAAGGTTGCACCCATTGTACAGAGGAAACCGCAGCTCCCAGCAGGAGACCCTCAGCCCAGCTGCCTCACCTCCTCAGCCCCGCACACAGAGATGGGTGGAGTACAGGTGTGCATGCACCTGGCCTCCCACCTTCCCACAAAAAGCCATGGAGTACCTGCCGAGCCCAGCGACGTAGCACCAGGTACCTCACAGTCTCCTTGCTAATCTGCACCTGCATCCAGAACCTCCCATCTTGTCAGCATGGGAAAATGCTTCATTCATTCATTCATTCTTTCTTTCATTCATTCATTCATTCATTCATTCTCTGTTCACCCACTTGACATTTTTGAGGGACCACGTGAACACTGAGCTTTGCCAAGCACCAAGGGAGCAGGGAGATGAGGGGAACACAGTAAGGCCCCCTATCCTAACACTACAGAAAGTCTGTGTTTAAAGTGATATCAAACCACACGGCATGGCGGTGCAGGCCTGTCATTCCAGCTCTTAGGAGGCAGAGGCAGGAGGATCGCTGTGAGTTCAAGGCCAGTCTGGGCTAATAGTGAGATCCAGACTCAAAGAAAAAGATATTGAATGCCACCCCCATCTGTCTCTCAACCTGCTTCTGAGCTTCTGTGGCCATCCTCTGGGCGGAGAACCCTCCATCTTTCCAGTCTGCTGCTCGATACCCCACCAGGTAGAAGAGGGATGACGAGAACCAGAAGTCAGGCTGGGCCTGGCCGTTACTGGTTGGGAGGTGGGCAGGACAGTGCCCGCCTCCAGGGCCAGCTGTGAGCACTGTGGGCTGGACTTAGGCGAGAAGTCACATCACTCAGCTCCTCAGCAGGAAGAGAAGCCCATAGGCAGGCAGCCCCTCCCTCCAGCTTTGGGGGGGGGACATCAGCGGTGTGGGCCCGAGGGGTGACAAAGGCAGCCAAGACGGCTCAGCCCGTGCCAGTGGCCTGGCTGCCATCTTGCTGGGGTCCTCCTCACCATGCACTGCCCCACCTGCCCTTAGCTGGAGCAGATCCTGGTCCCCGAGGCTCTGTGGAGCACAGCTGTTCTCCCCGGGCTCCCCCACGTAGCTCCTGGACTCTTCCATCTTTGGAACAGAGTAGTCGGCTGGTCTGTGACCTGGTCTGGGGCCCTAGCTCCTGGCTCTTCCCAGGGAGGGACAGATCTGGTCAGCAGTGCTCAGGCTGAGTAATACAGACGGATGCTGGGGAAGTGAGGAGGAGCACTCACAGAGGGCGGCCAAAGTTTTATTTTGTCAAGAAAAGACTTTTTAAACAATTCCGATGGACTGTTACACCGTGAGTTCAGAAAGAAGCTCCTAATCTCTCAATTTTATTTTATTTTATGTTTTTGGTACCTGGGATCAAATCACAACCTCACACTCACCAGGCAAGCACTTGAGCCCCTGAGCTAAATCCCTGGCCCATAATCTCTGTTTTAAAGTGGGATCTGCTTAGGTGGGGTGTAGCCCACCACATTGCGCCCCCCCCCCGAGTTCCCTCTGTCTCACTGAGAACCGGCGGCCTCTGCAGGGAGCGAGAACAGGGGCCAAAGTGAGGCACACAGTCTAGGAACCTCTGGGGAGACCTGGTGGCTGAGCGGGCTTCCTGCTTTCAAAGTGCAAGTTCACCTCTAGGGACCCAGGTCCCATTGGCTCCTGCAGGCAGGGGATGCAGAAGAACAGATTCCTGATGTCAGAGCTGCCCAGATAAACACAGAACTTCAGGCAGCTATGGTGGGCGAGCCAGGAGTACAGCATGAAACAGACTCCCACTCCCTGGTGCCCCAGCCAGACCCTCATAGCCACAGCAGTTGGGGGACAGGAGCCCGCATGATCACCTTCCTGGATGGAGTGTTTTCCCTGTGAACAAGTCACCATCTCACCTATGGCTTCATTTGCGTCTCCTCCCCCTAGCCCCTCCCCCAGGCCTCAACCACACTCCTACCCTAGGACCTTTGCTCAAGCTGTGCCCTTGTCTGTTGGTTCTCTCCCTTATCTCCTTTGAGCCTTTGATTAAGGTCACTTAACCAAAGTTCTCCCCTCATTTCGCCCATCTGATGCTATTCTGTGCCCGGCACCCTGCTTCCCTTCTACCAGGCCCTACCCCATCTCTCTGCTTACCTGAGGGACCCATCACCTCCTCATACAATTTGCCTGGACACTGCTTGTCAAGGTTATTGTCTGTGGCCTGTCTCCCTGCCCCGTTAGGATGCTCAGTTAGGATGCACAGCTTGTGCGCAGCCAAACAGGCAAGAGGCTGAGCAGGGAGGAACCCACAGGCTGCCACTCGGGCTCCCTCCCTGGCACAGCTGCAGAGCAGAAGATGGGCGAGGAAGCAGGAGCGGCAGGGAGGTCCTTGTGCCCCTCTAGATCCCTGGCTCTCGGCAGTGCCCAGCACAGAGCAGGCACTCAACAAACATCTGTCAGATGAATGGGAAACCCGCCGCTCTGCCAAGAGGAGAGGGTCATCCAGTTTTGCGTGTGTGTGTGTGTGTGTGTGTGTGTGTGTGTGTGTGCCCTCTCACGAGTATCACAGCCTGGAGGGGACTCTGGGAAGGACCTCACATCTTTCCTTCAAGCCAACAGTGACAAATGTTGTGCCCAGAGTGACCAGGGCAGAAGCAGCTGACCAGTCCCTGTGTGGGTCAGATGCCTCCCCTGCCCAGCAGCTGTGCCCTTCACAGGGGCAGGGGTGGGTGGGCAGGGCCTGGCCTGCCAGCTCCTCCCACAGCTTCTCCCTTCGGCAGCTCCCATCACTGCTTAGCGGGTGTGTGTGTGTGTGTGTGTGTGTGTGTGTGTGTGTGCAGAAGCTGGGTTTACCAAGGACCAAAGTCCCCAGCTCCCCGACCCTGGGTACAGGTGACCCTGGGTACAGGCGAGGGGACTTGGAGAGGCTACTCAGCTGTCTGGAAAAAAAGCAAAATCATCAAAGAGGGGAAGCTGGAGCCTGATGCCTGCATTTGAACCCACTTAGTAATGATATGAAAATTACTTCATTTGTCTCCCTGCACTCAGGAGGCTGAGGCAGGAGGATGGCCATGCGTTTGAAACCAGTCTGGTCTGTACAGTGAGTTTGAGCTAAACTGAACTACAAGGCAAGACCCTGCCTCAAAAAACAAAAACAAACAGACAAAAACCAAAAGAAAATTTTTTTGAAAAAGTAAACTTACTTTTGTTTCCTCAGCTAAGGGTGAATAAAAACTTCACACCCCTGCCAGGCCTGTGCTGTGAACAACCAACGGTACACAAGTAAACAGAGGGAAAGTGCTTACTGCAGCACCTGGTGCTTAGTAAGTACTCAGTAATTGTCGGTTTCTGTCTGCACAATCAGCTTTTGACCCCACAGCCCACATATTAAAAGTTTAGGAAAGAGGCTGAATTCCCCTGACTTAGGCCAGCTAGGATTTCTTTCTCTCTTTTTTTTTTGAGAGGGTCTCACTCTGTAGTCCAGGATGGCCTCAAACGCAGTGATCCTCCTGCCTTGGCCTCCCCAGTGCTGATGTTACAAGTTGTGCCACCATTCCCGGCTCTCTCTCTCCTCTGTTTGTTTTTCTATCTCTTTTCTAGGTATACCCCTTTAACAGAAGGAACAACTGAGGCTCAGAGAAGTTGCTCAATTTGCACAAGATTACAAAAGTCAGAGACCCCAGGTCTGCTTCCTCCTCCATCCCTGCCGGCCCCAAACATGGCCTGGCTGCTGAGCCAGGTGTGTCTATGCCTGGAGTTACCTTGGGGTGGAGGGTGGGGCAGCTGA